TGCATGTACTCATCAAAGGCTCACAACTGACAAGCTGCAATCACTTTTGTATTGTGTAGAAAAGATTGTATCCTGTTATGAACTTTTGACTAGCACTTTTTTTTTTTTCTTTTTTTTTAGTTGTGTTCTAAGCAATACTTCTCTTCACCTCTCTTGTTAATATTTAGTGTGCACTATGCTTTAAACTAGGATTTGGCAACCTACAGCACAGGTGCCACATGTAACACACCAAGCAATTTCAAATGGCACACAGCTGCAAATGACATCACAAAGTCCGAACCAATAACTACTACAATGCAAAGATATTTTTCTGTTTCAATTTTAATATATACTATATATTACTATATAAAATATATTGTAGAACAGGTATACTGATCTTGACTTGTATAAAAATATGTATGCTGTTGGGACATTGAATGATTTTAAAACCCTAAGTCGGCACATATTTAGCAAAAGGTTGCCGACCCCTGCTTTAAACCACTTGAGCTCTCAAAGCATCAATAACAGTGCCAAAATTATATCTTCTCCATCTGACTGCTATTCAGAGTATCAGTGAACAAAATGCAAAATTGTATTTGTCTTGATAACGCTATGAAGAATGTGTTCTCTGAGCCAGATATATTGATTTTCATATTAGATAAAGTTCTAAAGTTAAATATTTTCAATATTAACCTGTATATTTTAATTTTACACTATCAAAATTATCTATTTTTCCTGAAATGTTTTTTCTAGGTATATAAAAAATATGCTTAAAGAACATTTTTAAAATGTTAAGAAAATTCTATTATAGAAAAAGGGATTACTTTGACTTGTATACGAATTGGCTTGAACATTGGAATGGAAGCTGTAGTTAATCCTATTTAACTCTTGTCTCTCCATAATAAGGAAGTTTCTCTTGAAACTAACTTATTTTCTTTCTAGAGTTGAAATTGGGTGGGGACATTCCATCTTACTAAAACAGAAATCACAACATAGATGAATAAAAAGTGGATTTTAGTTTTTTTAGCTTTGTTTATTTCTTTGGAATTAGCAAAGTAACCAAGTGCCAGTTCTTATTCTCTTGACTAATTTTGACAATGACAAACATTTTTTTTACTTTACTGTACTTTATTTGCAGATTGTCTTAAGAAAATAATTTTCAGTCGGTGTGATATGTTAATGTTTTCATTATGAGGAAAAAATTTTTTTTTTTTTCTTTTAATAACCCAGGTATCTCATTATTTCTCCATCTTATAACTTAAGTCAAATTTAAATTCAGTTTGTGAGCTGTTTACAAACTAGCTCCTCTCTACCATCTATATCCTGTTATGATTATACTCAGACCATGGTATTTATTAATAACTGGTTTGGGTCATTTTCATGGGCAGCAAATACAATATAGCAGGTTCATCTGAAAAGGTTTTTAAAAAGTATTAATTTGGGTTAACATATTAGCAATTATTTTGAATTATATGTTAAAAAAAATCTAGTGGTACATTAGATCTTTTCTCAGACTTCAGTATATTGTGTACTTTGGTAAATTTCTTGCAACTAATTACTGCTTAAAGAAAAATCTTTTTTTATAATACTGCTTGCAACTCTTCATTATTTAAGATGACTCCTTGGTCTTTCTTTGAACACTGCACTAGCATTACAATCTTTCTCCAATAATTAGTTTATCATGCATTGCACACTCACACAAATCTAATTAATAAATTTCTGCTAATAGAAAGTTAATAGAAGTTATTTGAGTTTGTTGCCTTTTTTTCTATCTCCATTCACATGCATTCATGCTAAATAGCATTAAATGTGTGAAACCCCTTACTAAAATAAAGGATAGGAAAATACTGTTACTTCCAGAGTCCCTGTAACGAGCAATAAAGCAAATTTAAAGAATTTCTACTTTATTGCAAAATTTACTTGGATATTATGTACAAATATGCAATTTCATAAATGCATATTAAATAAGTTTTGAATTTCTACTTACTTGCTTTTATTGAATTAGTTTTCATATTAAATTTATGAATTTACTAATGCATGCACAAATTCACCCTAAAAAGGGTATTGTCCACTTTTAGATCTATGAAGTTTGTATAGAAGAATCTATAACTTTTTGTGAATTTTGTTACTTTCTAAATAGATAAATTATTTTCTCCTTGGTTGATAGTATCTTTTAAAAAGCTTCTACAATAAATTATTTTCCCTGAGAAGCTTTCAATTCTCTTTGTACTGATTAATATAGGTTCCTCCACAAAAATAGTGATAACTAAGGTTTAAATTAATTTTTAAAGCTTTCATTTTAGTTTTAATTGAAAACTAAAGGATTAAATTTACTATTTCTAATAAGCAAAATACTCTGGTTTATTTTAAATAGAAATTATATTTACTTATTTATTTTTTATTTTTTCTGCAGTAACAAAGTTGTCCATTTGAGATATTTGTAAATAAGTTAGTTCTCAGTTTTAAAAATCTTCCAAAAAATGTATTTTTCTGAAACTTTATTTGAAGAATATTAGCTGATTTAAAGTATAATTAAATAAATTATAAATAATTATCTGATTTGAAACTAATATTATTTACTTCAAGTTTAAAATATTGCAGAAATGAATTTTTTAGCCAACAGTAGCAGTGTTTGACAAAAGTGCTAACAGATTTAATGTTTTATTGTGACTTTATCTGTAAGACATAATTTAGCACTTTTTTTTTTTTTTTTTTTTTTAATATAATTTTTAAATACTCAGTAATGTTAAAAATTTAGGAAGATATTTTACATAATCTAATATTTTATTGAATTTTAGAAATTTTGGCTTTAAGTTTAAAATAGTTGTCATGCTTATTTTCTGATAATGATGCATACAGTCAACTACTTATGAAAATTGGCAGGCACATCCATACAATAATAGAAAATTAAAAAATCTTGGTGTGTGATGATTTGTATTAAACTTTTCTATTTATAGTTAGTAAATATAATTTACACTTAATATTAAAGAGTGAAATTAACAAAAAACCATACTTGTAAAAAAAAAAATTAAAACTTTTAAGATTATTCATTTCTAAAAGCAATTAAAAGCTTTTTTAATTAAATGTCATAGTTTTATTTTTTATTTTTATGATTCGGAACAGATTTTCAGTAAATGTGTAACCATTTGTGAAAAGGAAAAAAATTGATTTCCTTTCTCTAAGGAGTCCTGCTTTTATAATGAAAAAAAATATATATATTTGGATCAAAATTTTATATATATAATACGTTTTAAATCTAACGTTATTTCTTATAAACATTTAATGAGTACACATGTTTAGTAAACTTTTCTTTACTTTTTTAATGTGTTTCCCATCTGGAAACTAGCCTGTATTAGTTTTTAATTTTGGAAAATGCTTTCAAGCCAAGCATGTTTTTCCTGTTGGAAGGTGTATTTTCTTAATACTTGATCACTAGGTTGCTTAGGCATTAATTTCACTGTTTCAAAACAGTAGGGATATCTATTCAAATACATGTAACACTAAATGACATTTATTGTAATAAGGAATGATGCAAATTTAAAACTACATTCTAAAGATATGTTGCATTTTTACTGTTGTTATATTTCATGAGAAGTCAAGTATTGTGTTAAATAAAATGTAAATTTTTAATCAGTTTTATAAAGAATGCAATCACAACTGAAGGTTTCTTGCTGCTGCTAATACTTAAGATAAAAATTGTGAGTAAGATAAAGTGATGTTGCTATTAAATGTTAATTTGCACTATCACTGTGGAAATGTATTTGATTTGTGACAATTTTAAAAGTTTATCAATAGCCAGGATCAATAAATAAAAAAAAAAAAACTTGAATTATTGTTGAGATTTGAATTTTATCTATATAAGCTCTCATGCAATTAAAATGGGAACTTCCTATTTGACTGGTTACCAGAAATAATAAAGTTACAACACACTAAAAGGCAATGCCAATTTTCGACCTGGGTATATGTATAAACTAAACTGTAGTAGATATTCTGATTGAATTTTCATAGAAAATTTAAAATTAAATAATTTATTTAATTTTCAATCTTATGATGTAGTGCAGTCTGTCTGAGCATTAGGTGGTGAAGCAGGTGCCGTGTATGCAAATTTTCCTGTTGTTCAATTAGAGCTGTTTGAGAGAGTTCAGATTGTGGGCTTGCAATATGTTAGATGATCATTTCAGAAAATTGCTGCACCAGTTGGCAACAGTGGTCTGGGGAACATTCTTACACCTGTAGACCAGGTTATGGATGACCATATAGTACAAATGTTTGCCAAAGTCAATGCATTATAAGAGCAGCAGACAGCACAGCTTCCACTGAACAGATCAAAGCAAATGTGACTTTAAATAATATAACCATTTATGCAAAGTTTTAATACAGTAAAAATATTTTTATTTTAAAAATTCTTTTAACATGTGAACTATTTTCTATTAATTTTATATATATTTAAAAACAATTGGATATAAAGTCTTAGTTGATGCTTACATATTTCATTTTGAGTTCTAAAGTGCAAACTAAGTCATTCAGCTTCTGCTGCTGCTTATAGTTCAGATATATTGACTCAAAAATGGTTCTTAATATTGCATTACAAAAACACTTACTGTACATGACATTTAATTTAGATTTAAAAGAAGACTTGATTTTAATCACAAATCTTTCTTGAATGAAAGTACCATCTCTTTTGAATTGACATTTTTTACCTTTCATGTGAAGTCAGCATGAAACTTGAAAATTAATATATTTTAAATGTCTTGTTTCTGGCAAAACAAATTTCATATATAACTCCTTGGATATAAGTGTCACAAAAAAAATTTAAACAGGAATATAAATGTTAAATGCAAGAAGTTGTTAAATATTTTTGAAAACTCATATTAAAGTTACAGCTTGTGATCTATTTTACGATCTTATGAATTTTAAAGTCCTGAGTAATTCATGAATTTAACTGAATAAAATTCTAATTTGTTAAATTGCATGCTGATTGATAGTTTCAGTTTGCTAATTTTTATTTATTTTTATTTTAGATATGATAAAGTACATGTACCCAGAGGGACAGAATCTATCCGAACATGATTTATTTGATGGGCAACTCAGTTTAAACAACATTAAACCTGATCCTGATTCTGAAGTGCTACCTGAAGAGATTGGTTCTTTCAACTATATTAAATCAGAAAAAGATGACTCTGTGACATCTGTACCTACTCAAACTCCTACACCAGCCGCTTCAGTTCCAATTGTATCTCCTTCCATTCCCAAAACTGAAGAAACAACAAATCTCCCTTCTGATGTTTTCATGAATTTAAATGATGAAACTCTTATGAAACTAAAGGCCTCACTTTTTGCTAATCAAAGGAAAGAAGAAATTAAAACTCAACCAACAGCAATGGAAGTTACTCTTACAGCAGTTACACCAGCAGTAGTAAATGCCATGTCCATTTGTCAGCCGCAACAAGCAGTCCAGCCAATGATTATTAGCCAATCACCACTGCAGGCAGTTACTGTTACTTCAGCCACACAGCATCCAATTGTTAGCCTTGCATCCACACCATCTCTGACATCTTCACAGGTAAGAACACCTAATAAATTTTTTTTTTAAATATTTACCTATCAAGCAGTATTTAAATGAACTCTTGTGGAGGGCTTTTGATTGAGTCTTCATCACAATAGGTAGGAAGGAGTAGATGCGATAGGCAAAAATAAACTACAGAAACGATCAAAATTGATTACTGTATTTAAGTATTGCATTAATATCTAAGCTTACCTTTTAAAAGTTTAATGATTATTCTTCTGTCGCTACTTAATTCAAAGACAGTTTGATGTACATAGGTATTTATTTTACGTATGAACAATTTATTTTTATTTCATAGGTGACTTTTGCTGGATTTCACAGTTTCAATTATTTTCAAGTTATCAAAATTATTGTACAAAAAAAAATTGTCACAAAAAATCATTGAAAACAATCACAGTAATGAAAACTTGGGAATCCAAAATTTCAGGATTGTGCGTCCAGATCTGGGCCAGAATGTTTTTAATTTGCTCACAGTCGGCCAGATTCCAAAATGGTATATGTTGGACTACAGCCCAAAAAGTGTGACACCTATATTTACTTTTTTTTTTTTTTTGTTGAGTAATTTATAATCTAACTATTTGAGATGCTCTAACTTATGACATCTAATAGCCCAAATGAATGGCTAATCCAACATGGTTTTGGAAATTATTATGGCCTAAACAAGGATAGAAGAGCACTGAAAAGTTCTGTTTGACCAAGAAAGCCTTTAAAAAAAATGTTTTATTTAGTGAGATTTTGTGAAGTAGGTTGAGAACTTTTCAGCACCTTCTCATAGTTTGCCAATGTGTGTGTGTGTGTGTGTGTCTTCTAAAAAAAACATGGTAAAAGTATTAAATTTATTTTAATAGCTAAGCTATATACAAAATAACAATTTGCAAGTCAATGTGATTCTTTGTAATTTTACTTTTTAGGATGAGAAATTGTCAGAATTGTTATTTAATCTGTATATTAGTCCAAAAATAGAAACTTGCAAAGATTTAGTTGCCATGCCACATCTTTGGTATGTCGGCTACATGTATGCTAAAATTGATGCTTGACCATGTTGTTATACCAAGTGCATTCTCTTGTGAAAGCTTAATGTGAATATTTTTTTTCTTATTTAGCAACTCAATCTATTGCTTCGACAGCAGCAGCAACAACAGCAGCAGCAGCAACAACAACAAATTGCGGCAGCAACTATTGCAACAGTTCCTCAACAAGTTGCTGCAACTTCTCCCCAATCTCTTTTGCAGCAACAACCAGTTATGACAACAACAAATACAGTTCCTTCTTTGCAAACTGCAGCAGCAACAACAAATCAAGTCAGCATGCAGCAATTACAACCGGTACAAGCTTTCATAATCTGTCATTGTATCCAAGACAGTTTTCCTTTTTACAATAAAATAAAATTAGATATGTCATTCATAGATTAATTCTATATTTAAGAGAATCTGACAAGGTTTTAGTAAAATTATAATCAATATGAAGGTTTAGAATTAATGATACAATATTAATGAGAAGTAATAATGTTTAATACTGACAATATATTAAAAAGATTACAACATTTTAAACATGTGTTGAGACATTGGATTTTATAATAATAATATTGCATATACTCTGTATAAAATGATTTGTAATGTAAAAATGAACATTTTAATGTTTCAATATTATATACTTTTTTAATATAATGCTTTTAATTATTGATCTTGGTAACTTGTCTACAAGTATTAATTTGTGTTTTATTTATTTCAGTTACTCTTGCAGTCACAGTTAATAAAGCCTGAAGTGAATGGTAATGTTGTCACATTGGCCAGTCCATCTGTTACAGCAGTATCTAATACGCCCTTAGTGACCAGTGGTAATACAATTCTTACAACAAGCATTCCCCTTCAAATGGTTGGTGAGGGTGACAAGCTTCCCATAAACAGATTGACGAACAGCCCTAAAAACAAGAACAAAGGTGAAAAGAGAACTGCCCACAATGCTATTGAGAAACGTTACAGACTGAGTATCAATGACAAGATAACAGAATTGAAAGATTTGGTTGTTGGCACTGAAGCTAAGGTTAGTATTTTTGCTAGTTTCATTTCATTCACAACTGATGGCTGAATTTTCATATGTATAATTATTTTCATTATCTATTTGCTCTAAGGTATTTTAATGTTTTTTTTTCTTAGTCACTGATTTCACTTAAACATAGTGCATTTTTTTTTACCTAAGTTAATGTTAAATATGTGTTGATATAGAAAATGTAACTATTAACTCAAACAGAAAATAAAATTAGAAAATAGTTTGAATTTCAGCTCTCTTTGCTTATGTTAACTTCACACTCATAATCCAAACACACTTGCAGTGCAGCCAGAAGCTTCATCGGTGATATCTATTTCTGGTGTTATTGGTAGTTTCGGACCCCAAAAAACATGAGACCCTTTTTACAATTCTTTCTTGTTATCACCATGGGGACAATGTATTTGTTTTAGTACTACTTCGTCTTGACTTTGATCGGTAGTAGCTTGTAGGAAGTGGGTACTATGAGATGCTTCCTGACCTTGCTCCATCTAATGCTCTTGAGAAAGATATTACAATCTGTCTGTTAGTGTTGATAAAGAAGTGAGTAGGTGAATGAACATTTCGGTTAACTACTATTCTATAAAAGTTGTTACCTGCATGCTCAACCTTGATGGTGGTCAATAAGGTATGTTAAATATATAATCATATTCAAAGTAAATTTAACCCATTAACTGTGGCAGAAATTTGCTATTCATAGTTGAATCATGGAATTGCAATGATAGAATTTTGTCATCTGTAATTAATAGGTTAATTAAAATATTATTTTTTAAATTATGACTTAGTTCTTAAGTGTGGTATCTCTATCTATCTATACATATATAAAGGGCAGTTGTGTACGTGTGTGTGGCTAAAACTAAAAACTACAATAAATAGCAACAAAATAAAGATATATATACAGACTCAGTATCACCCAACCCGCCTTTTTGAAAAAAAAAAAATATCGTATGATTTGTATTTATGAAGATTTTAAAATTAAAAATATGTAATAATTGCATTAGAATGCATTCAAAATTCTCAGAATTAAAAAGTAAAAACAAGTGGGAATAATTCTTATTTCATTTGTTTTTACTTTTTAATTCTGCTATTAATTTTGAAAAGCTACATGTATTTTTTAAATTTCTATTCTCTTGAATTTATCTCTATATGTATAGTAAATAAAAGCATAACTTTAAAAAAATGAATATTAAGACAAAGATTTAAAGGAAATTTAATTATATTAATATTTTTTGGCCATCTTATGGAAAAATTTTTTATTCAATCTTTAAAAAAATAAACTTCATTGTTTTTTTGTTTTTAACTAATATAAAAAAGTAAATTTCAAATTAAGTTTTATTAAAACAAAATTATAGCGAGCCTTATTTTTTTTTTTTGAAAGGTAAATAAAATATAGTTAAATTTGTAAAATAAATATTCAACATGATATAAAGTAACTCCTGTCTCTACTAATTTTTATTTAACTAAAGTTTTTTTCTTTTCAAATACAAATTTAACTTGAAATTTAAACAATCTCTTTTCAAAACTAAATTCTCAATGTATTTTACTTCTGCTCTCTTTCAAAATAGCTATTAAATTAATTTACAGAGAAATGTTTGCTTCTTTCACTTTCTTTAAAAAGAAAATAATCACTGTAATCTTTATTTACTTAAAAAAAAAAATAATCTAAATTCCCTTTCAAAATAGTAAATAATTTTTTTCAAAGAAGTAAGGCTGGCTATAGTTTTTTCTTGAAAAAATGATTAAATATATCTTAATTTAAGTTTATTTACTTTTTTATTAATAATATGAAAAAAATGGTTAATAAAATTAGATAATTTGATTTGTTTGAAAACATTAAAAGAGTATTTATGTTAGTATTTAATTCGAAAAATAAAGTCTTTTTGAATAAAAATATGGGGATGCTCAGCCTCCTAAGCCATCCACCTATGGCATTTCCCTAAATTTACTTATTTTGCAACAAACCAAAAAAACAATGAAGTTTATTTTTTTAAAGATTGAATTAAAAAATTATTTTCTGTAAGATGACAAAAAAATATCAATAAATTGTCAGTAATAAACTATTAATCAGATCTTCTGAGCAATTGTGTGTGTATATATATATATATATATATATATATATATATATATATATATATATATATATTTTTCTCTCTATATATATATATATATTTTCTCTCTCTCTCATATTTAATATAGTGATATTTATAGTGTATGAATTTTTTACAGGGAAGGATTAAAATTAAAACTTTGTTACTTGCAATTGGATCTTCAGCGTTTTGGGGTTTTTTTTTTTTTTTTCTCTCTGCTTAGAAAAATAATTTGTTGGTGATGAACTGTCATCCTTTGCCAGAGTGACTGGCCGGTTTGGCCAATGTAATTGTTCACATGAGAAATCATTTTTAATTTTGATCCGTCTTTGAAATGAAATTCATGGCCCTCTAATAGATAGCTGCATACTCCACAAAGGGGTTAGTTTCATTTTTTTTTTTTTTTTTTTTTCACCTGAGGATTTTTGAGTTCTGCAGTTTTGCACTTGTCAGTATCTTTTTTAGTGATTTTTGGCTGTTGTTTACTTTTTATGATTGGATATTTATTTATTTTTTTTTTTTTTTGTCCTTTAGTAGGATTGGTAGATTTAGTTGTATGTGTTTGTAGATTTCTGTTTGTTGGGTTGGAAGTTGAGATATAAGTAATGACTTTTTTTTTTTTTTTTGTCTCTTGGAGTGTGTGGATGTTTTGCTTTTTCAATAATATTGTCTATCAAGCTTTTGGGGTTATTTTCTCTTGAAGTTTTTTTTTTTTTTTTTTTTTTTTCCCCATCTCTTCTAGTCTGTGGTCTCTTGTGGTTGTGTTTGAGACTATTGTACATATCTGCTTGCCTAGGTTGAGTGGGGTGTAGGTACGAGTGTGTTTTGGGTGAGATGTAAAAAAAGAATTGTTATAGTCAGTCGGTTTAAAGTACATGTTGGTTTCTAGTTTAGCGTTTGTTTTTGTTATTAATGTCTAAAAAGGGAAGTGTTTGTTTTTTTTGTTGCTGTACTCCATAGGATGCTAGGATTTATATTATTAATGGATGTTTGGAATGTCTTTAGTTTATCCAGACTTTCATTCCACAGAATGAAACCATCATCTAGATATCTTTTCCAGTTTTCTTTTATGTTGCAACTGAAGTAATTTCCATTTCATTCACACACATATATATATATATATATATATATATGTACCTATTGTGCATTTCGGCAGCAATCCTTCATTTATACATCTTTCATTAAAGATGGCAGACAAGGCACTGTGATTAAGCCTTTTTAATTTAATTGTTTTCTTTTCTGGACATGGTGTAAAACTGTCCAAATGTTCTGTCATTTCGAGCACTTTCAGGTATACTTTTAGCCATTATCAAGGATGAATATATTTTTGCTTTTTAACTGGGTGTAAGAGTGGGGTGTGTGTGTGTTTCTAGAGTTATAGTTTTATTTTTCAAACACAGCACATTGTGGTCATGTTCTTAGTTAATATTTTTGAGTATTGGCTGTTTTCTTTTTTGTTATTAAGGCTTTTTTAATATACATGTGGATGAGGTTATTATGTTTGTAATTTTTACTAGTATGTTTTGGTCTGGTAAGTTTCTATGTGTTTAAATGAGTCCATCCTAGGTAATGTCTACAAGTATACACAGATATCTAATGTATGTATGTATGTATATATATATGTGTGTGTGTGTGTATTTTCATGAAAATTTCTTGTGTATTCATGCTGGTAAATGTTAATACTGTTTATTATAAACAACATTTACTTAAATATTTGTGTCTATATAAATAACATATGACAGTAAAATATATTAAAGTGTGTGTGTGTGTATATATATATATATATATATATATATATATATATCTGACATAATGTATTGTAAATATTTACATTGTTTGGACTCGTTGTCTTTATTGTCACTTTCAAGATGTTTAGCTGTTGTACGCTCTGGCCTTCTTTAGGTGGTATTTGTTAGAATTTTCAACTGGACACTTTTATTTAGTTCACTAATTCTAAGTACCATGCCTTTGAATGTCTTAGTTTCAGTTAAAATTTAAAAAAAAAAAATTTATCTTTAAAATGATATTAATCTTATTTCAGTGAGTTTAAAAATTTTTCATACTACTTTTTTTCTCCTATTGTTCAGTTAAATAAATCTGCCGTGCTACGAAAAGCCATTGACTATATCCGCCACATCCAATTAACAAATAATCGCCTAAAACAAGAAAATATGGCTCTCAGGCTTTTAGCTAAGAAGCAGAGTAAGTATTTTTAAGTTATTGTTTCATTATACTTTGCTTATTTGCTGTGATGACTTGTGTTTATTTACTCTTCATATTAAAATTTTATGTCTCATTTAATGTATGTTGGAAAGATAATTCAAGTCAACATGTATAGTCTAACACTAAATTGTACTTTCTGTTATTCTAGAGGATGTGAAACTTGTTATCATTACTGTTACTTCTGCATGTAAATGCTTAATCTTATTTTAAAATTAACTTCTATCTTATATCTATGTTGAAGCCTAAGAATTTTGTTCATCATTTCTGACATATACTTTTTCACAAAAATGCAACCCAGTTATTCTAAAAAGTAATTTAACTTAATATTGCTTCTTTGGACTAATCTTTTTAATTTTTTCAACACTATGCTTATGGCAAAGTTGAGGTATGGGATAGACTCATCCCCAAAGGCAGGTAGATGAGGCTCATTAACTATAACTCACCTCAAGAAAATCTTACATATTTTAAATTTTCAACTTTTTTCAAATGGTGATTTTTTTTATTTTTTTTTTTTTTTTTAAATATATCAAATTTTGGTGATTGCTAATGTTATTAGGTCATCTTATACAAATGACATTGAGTTGGTGTGAATGGATAATTGTCTAATTTTCAGTGGCAAACCATTTCATTCTCATATTGTCACTTAACAACTGTCAACAACTTTTGATTTGTTAGAAACAAGTTTGGTTGGTGAAGTGAGAAGCTTATTGGAATATTAGTAACATTCATGTTAAACTAAATGGCAATATTATATATAACAAAGGAGCTGAAATGATATATCTAAAATTATTTCTAGAGGAAGCTTCTTTCTAAAGATATATCTAACTGAAAATATTAAAAGCTCTTTAACTTAAAATAAAAAAAATAAAAAATAATTTTCAAATTTAGTTTTCATTCCACCAATGGACTTGAGGCAGTGTTGCCAAAATGTAGTATTAGGAAATTGTCTTTTCTTTTTAAACAAAAATACTTAAATGTAAGTTAAAATTCTCTTGAAATAATTCAAATAGCTCTTTGAGACTCACTTTTATGATAGTTGCTTCATTAGCCAAGGATATCTTGACTGACTGTACACTGCCTCTACTCTGTAGATACGGAAGACTCATTGGCTGGAATGCAAGTGAAGCTTGATCCTGTTATGGTGTTGACACCACCTGGATCTATCACTGGTTCTCCTTCTCGCAGTCCCCCTACTGCTAGCAGTGATAGTGAATTATCTTCTCCCCCAAGTCCACTATTTGATGACTCCTCAAATTCTGGTAAGATTACAATTTCTCTATTGGTGTTGTGCAATTTTCGCTTTTTATTTTATTGCATTTTTTCAATTGTTTTTTTAATCACTATTTTTACTGTTAATAGTCCCTTGATTTACACTTTGTGTATGTCTATTTCTAAATGTCTTAATAAAGAGCACATTGCACACTCTTGAATAAACTTGCATTTCAATAGATCTTTATTAACCAGGATTTATTAAAGAGCTCTATTTGATAGTAGTCAACTTGTAAGCTAAATGAACCATGGATAGTTTCATGATTTGAAAATTAAAAGGATAATTTATTATATAATAAAATGTTACTCAGTTTTTCTTTTCTAGTAATAGGTTATTTCTTTATTTGACAAACTGAGTCTTCATATTCATTAAATGTTTTTACTTTTTTTATTTATTTAATTTTTTTTTTTTTTTAAGATTTTTTTTTTTAAGTTTGTCTCACTTTGATAAAGAAATGTCCATCTGTTAAAATTTTAATCTTGAAAGAAATGAAAGCTTAATTTCTTTTAAACTATAATTCTTGATTAAACTATTACTAATCTCCCTTTTTTTTGTATATTTAATGAATTATAATAGGGATCATTTGTTTATTGAAAAATTGTATTGGTAATCTAATTCAATTTTTATAGAATATATTTCTTAATAATTCAGCAAGTATCACTTGAATATTAGGAAACTTCTACATGTTAAAAAAAATAGTAACTAAAATGAAATGGATTATATGATTGAAGTTAATTGTTTACTATTGTAGTCATTTTGTAATCAGTTTTTCCTTCTATTTTCAATATACTATAACTAGTAATAATTCTATACTTAGTCATTAACTGCTTGTTAATACTTATGAGTTAGAATTTTCTTTGACCAAGTTGCTTTGTATGTAACTTATTTTTATGAAAATTTCTAGCTTTTATATATTTCTTAAAATTTTATTTCCAAAAAATAAAAATTCTTTCTTTATAGAAACCATTACTTAGAAAATATTGCATTTTTTAAAAAATACTTTGTATTTTCTTCTGCACTAATATATATAATTAGTGAAGTTATCTTTTGTGCATTTCACCTCAAACATAAATTCAAGTTGCCGTTTTATAAATAAATTTACTGAAATTGTCGAAAGCATTGTAAGAAGCATTTGGTGTTGTCTGTAATTGTCTGTCAAGTGTTTAAGTCCGCTTGCTATTCTTGGGTACAGGGATGAAATGTATTATGGCTCTAAAAAATAAAAAGCTTCTGTTGGTTTAAAGGCTATATTTAATTTTTAAGTGAATTATGTTAAACAAGCCTCACTTACCTGCCATCAAGGACTGTAAACTTGAATGTTTCTAGTTCATCAATTACACTAATTACAAAGTGAATGTTACTTTTGAAATGTTTTGATCTCTTAACCATTCCATTTTATTTCTCATTGTTTTGAAATATTTTTCAAAAGTGGTCTTATAACATTTGTGATAATAATACCAATTATATTTTAGTCTTGAGAAAAGTCTAAAATGTTAATACATTTTTAAAGAATATGAAATTTGTTTGTACCTCTTGTTAGGTGTATACAAAATGCCTATTTTTGAAAGAAACTTTATTAAAAATCTTAATCTAAAGGTGACCAATATAATAAAATGTAAGCTAATATTCTACTTAATTTTGCATTTATTCTACTTAATTTAAAATTAACTAATTAAATAATGATTACACTCTCCTTTTAATTTTAGTTTGTGAAACTTAATTCTGTTTTCATTTAAGCCATGTTGATACAATAATTTCCAAGGATTAATAAAATCTAATCCCTTGGAGATATATACATATTTCTATAATTACTGAATGTCTACTAACATGTATGATGCATGCTATTTTGTACTCTTTAATTGAAATTTTGGATGTTGTGATGATGAATGGTATTTGATAATTTTTATTTTACATAACTATTTTGGTCAAAATGTCCAAAATCAAGTTGCTTCTATTTAACTTTAGTAAAACTTATTCACTTTTGATTCACATCCTTGCTTTGTTCTTAATCCCATGTTTCCAAAGGTATATAATTTTTTTATGTCTACAATAACTGCAAAGAACAATGCCTTACTCTTCTGCTATTTTTTACATTACAATGACAGTTTCTCTGGTTAGATTTGGTCTTCATAAAAAGGTGCAGATCTTTTCATGAAATTGTTTACTCAGCTATACTTGTTTTGTAAGAACTTAACCAATGAAAACAGAGGCTGTTATTTGTTTTTCAAATATTGATTTACCTTTATTCTCCAATGTATATTGCTTAATCATTATAGGCCTTATAAAAAAAAATTACAATTTTCTCTTAAAGAAACTTAAATAATGTGGTTCTGTTCTAAAGAATGATAGAAAACAATGAATGACATTTGTAAACACTTTTTTTTTTAAATCTTTCTTTTGTATAAATATGTTCAAGCACAAGTGTTTTATGAACAATAATTTATTGGAAATGAAAACAAATTGCATTTTACTATGTCAGCTCCTTTTCTTTTTATTGTTAACTTATATTGATATTTTTCTTCACTCTCTCCTACTTCAGGGAATGATGGTCCAATGTTTGATATGAGTGGCATGCTGGACAGGTCCCGTATTGCCACTTGTATGTTCATGTTTGGAGTCTTGGCTTTTAATCCATTTGGCTTCTTCCTAAAACCTGGCTCTCTTTCATACTCTGAGCCATATCTTAACCCACAAGAATATGGTCGAAATTTGCTGAGTGTTAACACAGGTTCGTATATATACTCTCTTTAAAAAACGTGTTAAAAAAAAATTACTGTCATTTATTTTGCCAGCTATTAATATTTTGTTACTAAGTGATGTTAAAAAAAAACAATATTTATGGCATCTATCTAAAGCAGTGAGTATGTGAGAGAGATATACAATTTGAAATTGGGTTCCTTTTTTACCAATGTAATTTTACAATTTTCATCAATACTTTGTAGGAATAAGATGCATTGCATTTTTAAAAGTATTTATATTTATTAATCTAATTTCTTTTTCTTTTTAAAGATAATATGGCTATTGGTACATTCTGGCCATTCCTACCACAGTTACTGAACACAGTGTTTATCCTCTTGATGCTGATAATGTTGTTTGTGTATGGAGAGCCAGTCAAATCAAAGAATAGTCAGGCTTCAGTTACTTACTGGAGACATAAAAAGCAATCTGACAAGTACATCAATCAGGTCAGTCAGTTGTCTGTCATTTTAATGCTCATAGATAAAATATTTAAACAACTGTTACATTAAAAGGAATTTATCTTTTGCCACTAACTATAAAAATGATCTAACTTCCAGATTAACATCAATATGATGATAATGTATTGGCTAATTTTTAAGAAATAAATCATGTGTCCTTTATTTTTCTGTGGCTTTTTTTTTCATCAGATGAGCAGATTATCTTCATTGTAATAAGAATTCTGTCCAAATTTAATTTTTTTTTTTTTTTTTTTTTTTTTTTAAAAAAAAAAAAATAAATTTTTTTTGGTAGTCATCTTTTTTGGCAACTTTTAATTACATGTGCAATAGTGTGACTCAAAAGTGTTTGCACCTATAACATTTCTAGAATATACAAATTTAAACAATTGTAATGGCTTGTGTAAACATCAGAATAAACATTTGATTTACATGTCCAATGTGACATAAAGGTTTAATTAACGAAAATCTCCATATTATTTATTTAAGGATTTCTATATGTTTCCGGTAAATCAAAAGTATTTGCAGAAATCATGAATTTTAAAATAATGGCTTGTGGGAAGATGCTTACTGCTGATGAAAAAGCCAAAATATCAAAATTACTCTCAAATGATAAAACCACACTGGAAATAACAAGAATAATTAAACAAGATCATTGGACAGTGAGCCAATATGTCATTGATGGTAAAGTTGAGTGCAAGAAGCACAAGGGTGGTTGCTCACGTGCAGTTAACAAGAGAGATTTAAGAAAAATTAAAAGAGCACTCAAACAGAACACTCACAGCACCAGCAGAAAGAATTTTAAGCAAGCTGGTGTTGAACAAGTATTGAAAGCAACACAAAATTCATCCTCCATAGCATGGCAAAACAATGTTCTCCAATTTCATGCCCTCTGTTGAGCAAAATGGTTGGAAAAGAGGTTGGCTCATTCATGGTGGAACTCCTTGCTTGTGTTTTAAACACCAACAAGGCAGTGGTGGAGTGATGTTTTGGGCTGGAATTTGTGGCTCAACATTAATTGGACCATTTCTTGTGCCAGAAGGGCTCAAACTGAATTCGGCTAATTATCGCCAATTTTTAAAAGAAAATTTCATATCCGGGTTGAATTCACAAAATGATGAGTTCCGTAGTAATCTTGTTTATCTGCAAGATAATGCCCCCAGTTATGTGGCATGCGTCACCAAATAGTGGTTGGCAAATCAAGGTTTTACAGGGGACAAGATTATGGTATGGTCACCACAGAGCCCCAATTTAAACCCTACTGAGAACCTTTGGGCCATGGTAAAGTGTCGAGTTATGAAAATGGACAGCAATTTTCTAACAAGGATCACCTATGGAAATGCATTTTGGATGTTTGTTCTAAAATTACGGCCAGCAAAGTTAGGAAACTCATTTCATCAGTCGATAACTTATTGTGCTTAAGAATGATGGTTGAAAAACTTAAATATTAATGTGCTCTTTGTGTTTTCATACAATATCTAAACAAAGTCATACCAACTTTCATTGGTATATAAGACATAATACACCTTTTCATTATTTTGTACAATTGATTTGAACAGGGCCAATTTTTTGCATTGAAATTAAAGTTTGCAAAAACTTTTGAGTCGGTATTATTTCCTCAATAAAAAAAATTGTGAATAAAGTTAATTTTCATAATTTGTTCTAAGATGTAATGTTTGGGCATTGGTCGAGCAGTAAGGAATTAAAATATTCAACTTTTTTGTCCATAAAAGCATATTTTATTAGAGAAAATGCAAAATATCAGTATTTACAAACCCTTTTGAGAAGCACTGTATATCTAAGATTTTTAGTGTTTCATATTAAAAAGTTTCACCATTATAGGGTGATTATGCAGCAGCTGCTCAGCAATTGCACCTTGGACTTTTAGCTCTTGGACGACCACTCCCAGCATCAAAGCTTGACCTTTTTGCCAGTTTGACATGGCATTGTTTGCGTCAATTCTTGCACCGTATTTACTTGGGAAAATGGCTCAGCAACAGAGCAGGTGGACTGTGGTCAAAAGACTTTGATGAATCGGAAGTCAAAGAATCTGCTATCAATGCTGCCTTAGCATATCACAAGTTGCATCAGCTCTATTTGACAGGTATATATTTTGATTTTTAACTAAATTTATCCCTTGAATTTCCCAGTCATTAAATTATTCCCCCTCCACCTTTTTTCATCCATTTGCTTTCCCTTTTCCCCCTCGCCCGTCTCCCTTTTTTCCCCCTCGCCCGTCTGCTTTCCCTTTTCCCCTCGCCCGTCTGCTTTCCCTTTTCCCCCCGCCCGTCTGCTTTCCCTTCCCCCCCTCGCCCGTCTGCTTCCCTTTTCCCCTCGCCCGTCTGCTTTCCCTTTTCCCCCGCCCGTCTGCTTTCCCTTTTCCCCCCGTCTGCTTTCCTTTTCCCCCCTCGCCCGTCTGCTTTCCCTTTTCCCCCTCGCCCGTCTGCTTTCCCCTTTTCCCCCCTCGCCCGTCTGCTTTCCCTTTTTCCCCCCCCGTCTGCTTTCCCTTTTCCCCCGCCCGTCTGCTTTCCCTTTCCCCTCGCCTGTCTGCTTTCCCTTTTCCCCGCCGTCTGCTTTCCCTTTTTTCCTGCTTTCCCTTTTCCCCCTCGCCCGTCTGCTTTCCCTTTTCCCCCTCGCCCGTCTGCTTTCCCTTTTCCCCCTCCACCCTCCGTCCGTTTTCTTTTCTTCCTATATATATATATAATTTTTTTTTTTTTTTTTTTTTTTTTTTTAGAGACGAGTTCTAATTCCAGTTGTTTGTTATATTCATTTATGCACAAATACTTACGAATGCACTTCTCCCTCAGTTATGGGTTAATTAGTAAGACTAAACCATTATCATCTCAAAAAAAAAATAAAAAAATTATACAAATAATCTAGATTTCAGTATTAAATAACTCAGGATTTGATATGCTGTTAAACAACCAACCAACCTCATTCAACATTAGTCAGTTTTTATAACTATGGTCATAGAATATTTCTTCAGCAATCAGGAAAAAAACTAAAGTTTAAAACCAGCAGATTTTTTTAAAAATTATGTTTGTCTAGCTAGCTTTGTTGTTTTTTGGGTTTTTTTTTTATTTTTTTGGTTAGCGGGAGGGATTAAACTCTGTCAAGTAAGTGAGACAGCAATGTCGCAAGTTTTACATTGTATTTTACATAAAAAAGATTAAACTAAATCAAAACGTATAGCTAATAATTATTACTTATTTAAAATAAACTGAATTAATTTTGTTTGCTTAAATGAGTAATTTTTTATAATTTGCAGGCCATAACAGTAGTACTTCAGCCTATGGAATCAACTTGGCTTTGTGTGCAGTTAATTTAGCTGAAGCAGCAGGAGATGCATTAGAATCATCTGTTCAAGCAGAAATATTTGCCACAGCTGCCATGACCATCCATTTAAATGCTCCTTTCAAACTAAAGTTCTTCTCTGTGAGTATATTTTCTCATCTTTGCTTGTGAATCATTGTAGTTTTCTTTTTTAAAAATAAATTTTTAAAGTATTTTAAATGTTAATGGAATTGATGTTATTGTATGGAACAATCATATGTATTGTGCATATAATTTGCCTTCATTTGCATTTAAGTTTATTCTGTAAATTTACAAAAAAAAACAATATTGAGCAATTAAAATAATTTTTCATAGTGTGTAAAAAGATGTTAATCTGTGAGTTTTTTTTTTTTTTTTTTTTACCATTTAAATTTTCTCAATTCTAAATATATAGAAAATGATCATTTATATATAATTTTTATTTTTATTTTTAGCGTTACTTTTTGAGCAAAGTGCGCCATGCTTGCTCTAAGAGTGGTGGAAAAGTACCTGCTGTAATCCAATGGTTGTGTCATAAAGAGGGTCACCGTTTCTTTGTTGATGGGAAATGGAGCATAAATTTTGATGATAGTATATTTTCCACCATTGAAAGCCCTGGTAAATATTTAAGCATAAGGCTTCTATTTTCACGATATAAAGTTCTTTTTTTTCTTTTTTTTTTTTTTTTCTTTTTTTTCTTTTTTCTTTTTGTTAAGGAATTGATTCAGTTAGCAATTTTTGCATTATTATCAGTTGAGGTATAATTGTACAAAACCTTGCAATACAAAGGATGAATGCATAAGCCAAATTAGTGTTTACATTTCTAAAACTGCATTCATAAATTATTCTGACTTTTCTTTTTCTTTACAGATTCTTAAAGAAGAATCTATAAGGAAAAATAAAATCGATTTCAAGAAACCCTAATTAAAGATTAAATTAATTTTCTGTGATCATAAATGAAGCAATTCTGAAAATATTTTGCTTTTAATACATTATTGTAAAATAGTTATTTCATTTGATCATATAATGATCTCAGTTTTCATTATCAAATTTAAGAAAATTTGGCGGTTTCATTAATGTTTATATTGTAATCAATAATCATACTTTTTTCAGTTGACCCTCTTGCTGCTCTGACCAGAGAATTTCGTGAATATCTTTTGGAGAAATCTTTGAATGCCTTTTTAAATCCAACAAAATCTGAAAGGTATGAAATATTTATTGCATAATATTGTTGTGTATTGTTGATTGGGTTGAAGCAATTTAAGCATATAAATTAACATTTTGTATTTTCCTTTTCTTTTTCTCAAGTAAAAAAAAAAATGTTTAATTCAGCAGTTGACATAAAACATTTTTATTGTATAGTAAATGATTTTTATATACAATATATTTTGTAATAAATGATATTCTTGATTGTCTGGACATAATCTTAGTCTAAAATGTGATCATGTGTAAATAATTTTTTTTCATAATGGGACACAGGTCACCCACACAATTAGTTTACAACACCTACAAAATAAAGTTGACTGAATGATTTTTATCTGGGCCTGAAGCACAGCAGTTTTTTTAACTACACAGTGACTGAAAGGAAATAAATGAAAACTTTTAGAGTCTAGTGCCATTTGGCTGGAAGTTAGGAAATTTCAATCACAGGTTTATATAAGCAGAGTCAGTTAGAATGAAGTTAGTTCTAGGTCGCATATTAGTTACAAGCTGTGAATTATGACTTTAGAGATGGGTAGAGAAGTGGTAGGAGAAAGAAAGTTCTTGCTAACCTAAAGGAAGATTTGTTCTGTTGAGATGCCTCAGGTGTTACCTACCTCCTAGACTGTGCCAAATGAAACTGAATAAACAACCAAACCTATTGGAAACAGAACTTGTATTCATTTCTCACTGTATACACTGAGCTTTTCCCAGTTTTTGTTCACATTAATGCAAACTAGACTTGAAATACAATGTGTAGTAATTTGTCCAGTTAGTGAAAGACTGAGGGGACCTGAGTTTATGCTTATAATGAATTGAAGTATTACTAAATAAATCTGTTCAGGATTTCCTTCTGTTACTTGTATATCTATTTAAGTAAAAGATGAGAATACATATTTCCTAAAATAAAACTGAAAAGATTATTCTCTTATCTAGTCATTTTAGTAATTTGACTAACTGAAGTAATTTCTTCTGTTTAGGAGCAGCCATATTAGTGAAGTTACTCAGTACACACAACTGTTGAATGATTGTTCCTGCCTTCAGTCAAGAGACCCAGCAAGTTTAATACAAGAATCTGTGAAACAATCTGTTCAAGGTAGGAAATTATTTATTTTAATTTTTTATAACTGTATTCTTTTATTTTTCTAATAGATATACATTCAGCTGCTTTACTCATGTGATCTTTTTATTAGCTGAATTATGGAACCTGCTCATTCACAAATAGACTTTTCCAGTTTAGCTGTGCTTTATAAATAAACTGAATATTCCTCTTTGTGTAATTGTTAGTGATATCTATATTGGTTGTTACTTTTAACATTTGTAGCTTTTCATTAGTACTGATGCAATAATGTTCTCTACATGATTTTTTTTCTCAATCTATCTCTTACTATTAACATTAGATTAAGCAAAAAAAAATTCTAAGCTATTTGATTTTTTTTTTTTTTTTTTTTTTTCATTTAAAAAGAAAAAAAAAATTGCAAAGCTTAGTTTGCAAGATTATAGTTCTGGTTTCCTCAATTAAACTCCTCTTGACCAGAATTCTATATGAGGTTGTGTGTGTGTGTGTATATATATATATATATGTGTGTGTTTTTTTTTTTTTTTTTTTTTTTTTTTTTTTTTTTAAGATGTTTTGGATAGAAACTGAGTTATTTCAAACTTGTTCCTTCAATTGGTGACTCCCCTTCAAATGTTTTATCAGCCATTGCAAAAATTCTTAAACATTCTTAAAAATACCAAAAAATTGGTCAAACCATTCCTATACTATTTAGTAGCCTGACCAGAATATCATATGCTACATTTAAATTGCAATGTTTTTTAGTACCCACTTGTAGTGTAATTTGCTGTTTGAATGTACTCTTTTTATCTCCTTACCACATTTTATCAAATTTATCAACTTAGAATTTTATAGATTTTTTTATTTTTTTTACTTTATGCATTATGACAGTTTTAGGTTAGATTTGTAATATTGTAGTTTTTTTATTTAAAATTTTAAAATATTTTACTAAATTCAGAGATAATTTTTTTATATAAAACATTCTTGTTTGTTTTAATTGATCTTATATTTTTAATCTGCTTAAAACTGTTAATCCAATGTTTCATTGCAATTGTTAATGAATCTATTTCAGATGTTGATGAAGTTGCTCGTTGGTGGTCATCCCTTGTTAATGTGGCTACTTACTGGATTACTGGGGACTATGAGAATGCTGAGAGACATTATTATCTCTTGGATGTCTTTCCAAAGAAACTGATTGCTTCCAAGTAAGTGCATGTGCATTTTCAAAACAATTTTTTTTTTTCCTTAAATTATATTTGGCAATTTCAGTAATGCTTTATTTCTTTACTATTCCTCTGTTGGCCATTCATGTGTAGATGTTGGCCTACAACCACTATCTCTCTTATATATAATTTCTTCACTGCCCATCTTTTATTTCTTAAATGTCACTTTATCACCAGCCAATCATTAGTGAATTCAAGATCCTGTGCTGACTGGAGGAAAATGCTGGTAGGACATAGGACATATGTGTATTGGCTGCCATACATCAGCATTATTTCAAATCTCTTATTGTCTGTTGCTATTTTAGTATTGCATATTTTTTTTTTTTTTTTAGAAGTGTTAAATTTGAAACCTCTATAATTCTTTTAGTTGGTTTATTTATCGTAAACTTTAAAAAAAAAACTGCCATACAGTTATAGAAAAGAAGCCTATTCAACTGAGCAATTGAGGTAGATGTAAAATATTTTCCAGATATGTATTTATTGCAAGTTGGATGTGTGAAATCTAATGATATTCTTTTTATATTGACAAGCACATTGATAAATAGAAAATTATGTTACAAGTAGGGATCACATTTTGTTCTGCGTCCTGGGTATGATGATAAACTACGTCCAACAGCAAGGCCTCTGATTTTTTTTTTTTTTTTTTTTTAAGAATAGTGTTGCTGGCTATGTATTACCAGCTATGCGTTTTTGAGGAAATGGTATTACCAGCTATGCGTTTTTGAGGAAATGGTATTACCAGCTATGCGTTTTTGAGGAAATGGTATTACCAGCTATGCGTTTTTGAGGAAATGGTATTACCAGCTATGCGTTTTTGAGGAAATGGTATTACCAGCTATGCGTTTTTGAGGAAATGGTATTACCAGCTATGCGTTTTTGAGGAAATGGTATTACCAGCTATGCGTTTTTGAGGAAATGGTATTACCAGCTATGCGTTTTTGAGGAAATGGTATTACCAGCTATGCGTTTTTGAGGAAATGGTATTACCAGCTATGCGTTTTGAGGAAATGGTATTACCAGCTATGCTTTTTGAGGAAATGGTATTACCAGCTATGCGTTTTGAGGAAATGGTATTACCAGCTATGCGTTTTTTGAGGAAATGGTATTACCAGCTATGCGTTTTTGAGGAAATGGTATTACCAGCTATGCGTTTTTGAGGAAATGGTATTACCAGCTATGCGTTTTTGAGGAAATGGTATTACCAGCTATGCGTTTTGAGGAAATGGTATTACCAGCTATGCGTTTTTGAGGAAATGGTATTACCAGCTATGCGTTTTTGAGGAAATGGTATTACCAGCTATGCGTTTTGAGGAAATGGTATTACCAGCTATGCGTTTTTGAGGAAATGGTATTACCAGCTATGCGTTTTTGAGGAAATGGTATTACCAGCTATGCGTTTTTGAGGAAATGGTATTACCAGCTATGCGTTTTTGAGGAAATGGTATTACCAGCTATGCGTTTTTGAGGAAATGGTATTACCAGCTATGCGTTTTTGAGGAAATGGTATTACCAGCTATGCGTTTTTGAGGAAATGGTATTAACAGAAATAGATTTTTGACTAAACAAAAGTATTACCAGAAAAAAAAAAGTTGTCGGCATTAAATGACCCATTGAGGTTGATGTGCCATAAACCAAACCAAACCATTTTGTTCCTGGCATTGTCTGTCTGCATGTACACCAATGGCCAATCTGACTGGATTAGCCTGAAGATCTTAATTCTTATTCGAAAATTATAATAATTTAGAGCATCTGAAGTTGTGTAATCTGGCAACTATGGGATCAGATGATGGCTTTAAGAATGGTCACTTTTTGATCATCAATCTCCAACTTATTTTATAAATTGGAGCCTCTTTAAATATCATTGCAATATATAGGGGTAAATAACATAACATCCTTGACTTAAATATTGTTCAAATGTAAACCTACACCCAGCTTTCCACCAATTAGCCAATGATTTCCCTATGTTGGATTTCTGTTCTTGTTCATATTGGTGTGCACCAAAAGCTGAAAGAGGGCTTGCTTCATGCTCACAAGGTAATGGAGATGAAAAAATGTCACATTGAGAAATGAAATACAAATCCTTTTTCCATTATTATATTTAAATGTTTTGTTCAGGACTTTACCTGGGTGGATAGGTAGGTGACACTTGGGACAACTTTTGCTATGTTAATCTCATAGATCAGCTCTTTTCCCCCTGCCATCTCCTCACTCATTTACACATCCCAACATGTGGCTGGCAATGCGAATTGGTGATATTGGAACCACAGAATGTATAAGTCTGTCTCTTGCTAAAGGTGACCCAGAATTGACTTCCCTAATCCCAAGCATGGCTGCTAATATAGACCAGCATTCAGATATAACCCATTTCCAGTTTTGGTTTTGCTTATTCTCCAAAAACCTCCATCAACTCTTTTACTTCTCTGTTCCCCTTTTAGTTAAAGTGGCTGCTGCTTAGAAAAACCAGTCTTCAAAAAGTACTATCCACTAGCTATAAAACGGAAATACTTGAGACTAAGATAAAATCAAATCTTCTGTGTGTGTGTGTGTGTGTGTGTGTGTGTGTATATATGTTTCAATTATAATGCCACACAGTCATGCGTCAAATTGACAGGATTTTCTTGGCTTGCAACATTTCTTATTTATTAACTCTTGATTCACCACTCAGCAGTAGCTTGTGCAAATTGTTTATTTTCTTTAAATTTCTGGTTTTTACTATTTTGACTGGTAATATCTAGCATCCTTAATTATGAATTTAAAAAATTAATAAAAACTTGTAATTTGTAATTTTTTTCTCACTAAAGTCATGGATTAAATAAAACTTATAAAATCTGATGATACTTGAATTTCATTTCCTTTAGTTATTAACCCTATCAGAAGTAAAACACCTGACAATATAACTGCAACTTCTAAACTTAGAATTTCAGTGCTCTAAATCTGGTAGGCAGACATATTTAGAATTTTGGTCATCTAGTGCTGGTTAAATCATTATTTTTCATAATTTGATCAGTGTTTAAAAGAAGTAGATGATTGAAGTTTTTTCCCTAACTGCTCTGTCATTCTTTATCACTTTTTTGTTTTTCATTTTTTTCTTTTCAGTGATCCACTACCCAAAGCTGCTTTCTTTGCCTACAAAGCTCGTCGTAATTTCTTGTCGCTTACTCAGGGTAGTTCTCTTTCATCTTTATTGCGCCAATGTGATCGTGCAGGTCGGCTCCTTCGTGAAAGCTTCAAGTTTTCTCGTACATATGACAGAGCAGAAATAGTAAAAGTAAGTATTTTCTTTGCATTTTGTTTTAGTGTTTCTCATGTCTTTATTTTTTTAGTTTCTTTGCTTTTTATGCACAAGATATTCATTTTAAGTTAAGCTTCAAATTGAATAGCAATTGAACCGGTGAACAAAAAGCTGTGTTTTACATGAATTTCTGCAATAGCAGATATATAAAAATTTTGCATGACTAATTACACTGTCAGATTTTATTATGCAAGATAGTTTTCACAATAAAATTGGTATAATGTTGATATAATTTGCAGGAAGTACTTATGAGCAATATATCATGTGCATATCAGCTTATTATGATTAAAATATTGATAACTTTGAGATGTCGGGTTTTTTATGCAATCAGAGTACAATATAAATTTTTTATTTATACATAAATCCAAGATCTATAAACTATAAAAACATATTTGATTCCCCAATAGAAGCTTACCCAAATGAATTATTTTATATGATAATATGGGCTCCTTATGATTCTATAACTTTCATTGGTCTTTCACATTGTAATTTTGTTAATTTTTTTACTGTTTGACTTGCAGCACTTGTATTTCTTTCCAGAAATCTTCTTTTCAAAAATAGTTTTTTCCATTCTTGTATATGTTCTCTTTTTAATAATGGACCACAAATTCTCTTTATGAATTAATATTGGGGGGTCTAATATGGTGTATTTGAAACATCTTTTATGGCCAGGTGAGCCAATAGTCATCTTTGCAGAATGTTAAGGAACATCATTTTGGATGACTACTATTTAGCTTAAAGCTTCTTGGTTGTGACATGTACTACTCAAAAGATGTCTTGTCCAAGAACTTAATAATTGTTTGCATTTATCTTGAACCATCTTCAGCTTAGAAGGGACTGGTAATTTTGCTGCCTACAATACTTGCTGAAAATATTACCCACCTTCCTCCTCTGTTCTCTTATAAAATTACTGTTGAAAAATCTTTTTTTTTTCTTTTTTTTTTTTTTTTTTTTCCGCTTACATTCACAATAGCAGTTGCTTCAAATATTTTGTTGCTGGTCAATCCACTTTTCTTGTTTATTACTCTATTAATATTTCTCGAATTTCATTTGTAACTTTTATAAAGTCTTTTTTTCCCTTCCCTTCCTTTTTTTTCTCTTGGTCTTGTCAGTGTTTTTGGTTTATTTTTCTATGAGCTCTGTTCAATTTTCTATATTACCATCATTCAATAACTTTACAATATCTTATTTCTCTTTTAAGGCTATATCTTTTTTGCATTCTTTATATATGTAAAATATAAAAAATAAATATCAGTAACTATACAATTATATATATTTATTTACAATATGATTAACAACTTGGAAGTTGCATTCACACCATATAAGTTATTGTAAATATTTATCGTACAAACAGATATTGTCAGCTGAAATTCCTATATAATTATATAATAAAATTATGTAAATATAAATATTTTATCAGTCATTTAATACCAATTTTATTGTAAAAACCTTGACTTGCATGATCTGACATCAGGTATGCTCGTTATATTATCTTTCTCTATAAATTTGAATTTTACTAAGAGTTAATAATGTGGTCAAATATTCTTCTAAAAATATAAATTTTGATCATTAACTTATGCAGTTAATATTCACCACTGAATTAAGTACATTGACTATTTTTTTTTAAACTTTATTTTGAGTTGCCAGAGGAAAGTTAGAATTATGTTTCAAATAAATGTTTTGTTTTTTAATCAATAGGCTACAGATTTGATGTATCTATTATAATATAGTTTGGTAACTTTTTTTTCTCTCTCTTTCTCTCTATGAAGAGTTCAACTACTCTTTCAAGTGAGCATTTTTTTTTCTCTCCTCCTTTGTTGAGTCCTTCCAGTGCCTAATATTGATGGCACTATCTTTTGACTGTGTCTGTTTTGCATTGTTAGTTGCATTGCATTGGCTTTGGATTATGCAATGCATACGCAGTGTAATCAGAGACAGTTACTATCACCTTGCTCAACAACAGCACACAACACAGATTCACAGATAGATAACTACTTTCTTATTCATTTTTTTTTTCTTCTTCCTTTTTTCTCCAGTGGTTCTCAATAAATTCAAAGATTTAAAAATGTTTGACAGTATTGTATTAAATTGTGTATGCTTAGGCAGCATATTTTAATTCAAACAGGTTAAATAATTTAGACATATTATGTCAATTAGTTTTTGTGATCCTTTCAAGTTTGGATTAAGTTTTTGGTAGACTTAGAAAATTGAGTAAGAAAAATACCAAAATTTTCGTTTGAGTAGTTTTTTTTTTTTTTCCCACAAGTATTTTCAATCTCATCTGAACACATCTTCTGGGGGTTAAGTTGTCTGTGAGTATGTTTTTTGTTTTTTTTTACTGCTTAATGTTCACATGTTCTTTTGGGTTTTTTCTTTTTTTCCAGTATAAGGGAAGTAACTTTTTTTTACTCATACGTATATAATTTTTTGTTTTTGCTCATATGTATATAAATTTAAAGTATTGTATTATTCTTCTTATGTTATATCTATTGCTTTTAATTAGATTATTCAATTGACACAAGACTAATTTTGTAACATAAGGACCTTCAAATTATTTCAACACTAATTTACAAGGGGATACTGAAAGGTTTTCAGCTTTTCCATTCCCCAAATGACCATTTTTTTTTTTGTTTAATTCCTTCTTGGTCAGGCTGAGAATTTTTCAGTATTCACTCATATACTTCTGTTTGCTTTAAAACCTTTCAGATCCGGATAATGTTAAGTGTTATTTATGAAATAAGTTAACATTATTATCTTACAGTTGTTAAAGTAGTGATATCCTCACCAAGCCTATGTAAGCTTTGTGGAAGTATCTTATCAAACATAAAAGCTAACATTTACTTTAAAAAAAATCAGTGAGTAACTTATAGACAAAGTTCAGAAGTGGATTCATTGATTTTTGTAGATCCTATCAAAATAATGGCATGTTAAAACCAGAAAAAGTAGCACTTTAATAAAAGTCCCAAATTTATTATATATGCACACACTATTCATTCACTTATATACTTCAGAAAATTTTAGAAAAAAGAAAAAAATGTACCTGAGTTTTCTTTGAATTATTTCAGAACTATTCTCTAACAGGATTACTGATTAAATAAGTCATTGAAACATATTTTCAGTAACATTTTTCTCCATTTTAGCATTTGCATTGTAACTTTAAACATTAAAATTACATTTGGAAATTTATAAGGAATAAATTTACCAGGTAGAGTGAGGAACAATAATAAAAAAAAATTTTTTAAATATTTTATTTTTCTTCTAAAAAAATTTGTAACAAATTCAATTCTGAAAACTTTGAGCATGACTTTAATGTACTAACAAATAGGGAACACAATTTTTCTTGTATGTGATTTATAAATTAGTTAGTAACACTTTATAGAATACCGTACATTAAAATGTTACTATATACTAAACAGAAGTAATAAATTGGCTAATGGATATATTGCTTTAGTAATAATGATTTTAGTCATAGTTTAAGTCTTCTGTCCCCCCATCTTCTCTACCCACCTCCACCCCCATATTCTCTACTACCCCCCCCTTAATACTATAATTTTATATAGTAGTTATTCAGCAGAATATTAAGATTTTGTCTGATTACTTTTGCATTAAAATTTTAGTTACATTAAAAAATATATATTAATTTGAATATTTAAAGTTCTGTTTAAAAAAACAATCTGCATTGAGGAAGAGAAATAATAATTAGTCAAATCATTGAACATATCAGGATTACTGGATAAAAGAAAAATTATAATGATAGCAAAAAGTTTTTATTTTATTTTCTAATAAAATCACTAAAAATCACTGAAATTAGCAAAATATAATTTGAAGAACATTGGTTATGTGATCTAAATTATAAGCAAGTAGATTTTAAATCCATGAAATAATTATCTTCAATGAGTTCCTCTCATTATCTTCAATGAGTTCCAATCACAAAGTGATTGTTGTATTATCAAGTTTCATCCTTCTATTAATTTTATTAATTTCTTTAAATTCTTTTGTTAGCTATTTAAACTGAATAGCTTCATTTTGATCATAGTGCTTTCTGAATTTAACTTCATGTAGATTCAACATGAATTTTAAATGTTTCTTTATTTATAAACTTCTTGAATCTTATTGGGTTATAAAAAAAACTTTCTGTACTTGGAAAAAAAAAAAAACTAAGTTGGGACTTTCTTTGTTTCAGTTATTGATGCTAGATATTTGAAACTTTTAAAACTTGCAGGATAAATTATTAAAAAGAAATCACTTAACTATTTTGATTTTGAATAGTAAACACACAATGTTCAATATAATGACAAAGCACTGAACACTTTAAAATTGCAAAAAGAAACATTATTTAACTTCAATTGGGGTGTGTTGAAAAGTTTTTTGAAGAAATTGAGCCAAGATCTTTTCAGTATCCTCTGTTATTTATTTATATATAATATATATATATATATATATATAATTTTTTTTTCTTCAGTTTTTCCTCTCTGTCTGTTTCTATATATAGGTGTACCTTGGGTTACATCGTTTGGAGTTAAGTTGTTCTCGCTTATACGTTGTTTGTCAAAAAAAAAATATGAAAAGATGAAAATCAAGTTTAAGTCATTTTATTTGACTTTACGGTCTGTCTGCCACAAATATTGAAGTTGTAATATCACTAGAAAAGAGTTAAAGCACATAAAATCGTGTTACTGTACAATAAATAACAAAATTATATAAAATCATATTAAAATACGTACATTTACAGTAAGTGTTAATATAATCATAAGTCCAAGAGAACGAAATATGAAAATGTCTGACTTTGTCTTGCCATCTTATTTAGCCGTCTTTAAGAGCACAATATTGGCATTTTCCACAGTAGTTCCAATATCTACCATTTGCCGTTGTCTGCAATACTCGTGATACCTATTAAATTGAAAACCAGTTTAATTTAGACATATGGCTGGTATACGTCTGCTTATCGCTTACTCTCTCATTCTCATTCATTTGTGATTTTATATTTTGCCCCAATGGCTCCTAAGAAAATTCCTAGTGCTAAGCATCATGCTATAACGCTGAACAATAAACTTACTATCTTAAAACGCCATGAAAAGGTGAAAATGTTATATTGATTGCTTGATCTTTTGGAATGAGTCAGACAACTGTATCAACAATTGTTCACAATAAGGATAAGATTTTGGTGCATACCAAATCTGATGACCCAGGGATGAAGAATGCTATTATCAATCAGAAAAGAAGAAAAATCTTTGAAATGATGGAACAACTTTTTGGATTGATAGGTTGAATCATCAGCATGCTGCTGTTAGTCAAGAAATCATTCAAACAAAAGCGCTATCTTTGTTTGAAGACCTGAACAAAAAATACCCAGATGAGAAAAATGGAGTTTAAAGAAAGTCAAGGCTGGTTTATGAGATTTAAAGAACGAAGTTATAACACTATTAAGAAGCAAAGTGAAAGTGCATCAGCTGACAAACAAGCAGCAGCCAATTTTCCTACAGCATTGGCTAAGATCATCGAAAACGGGTTTCTTCCTGAACAGATTTTTAATATTGATAAAATTGGATTATATTGGAAAAAATTGCCAGACCGTTCTTTCATTGCTAAATGTAAGGCTATATCGTAGATAAATTATTTTATTCAGAATACTGTATGTACATATCATAAATACTGTACTATGCAATGGGGAGTGATTATTTGTGACTTATAGTGTAGTTATTATTGAGTAGTAGGGTAGGTTGATTTTTTTTTTTCACTTTTAAATAAAATCAACATTGCACTGGAGTTTAATGTGATAAGCACTGACACCAAAAATTTGATTCATAGCTTTTACCAATGTTTGAGCATTCAGGGTTAAAGATTGTCTGAAAAAATGTAAAGAAATACTTAATTTCTACAGGTTTTTGCTTAGAAGCTAACTTCAAAATTTTGCTATTTCAGGAATAAATCCAAATAAACTTCTAATTTTTTGTATTAGATACATTGTATGGAAAATATATCCAAACCACAATTTTAATTATGAATCACCACAAGGAAAATATGCAATTTTTTATAGTATTTGGTAAGTGAAAATTGTAAAAGGTTACAAGCACCATTTGATAAGACATAATTGAAAAAAAAAAAAAATAGATAAGTATATAACACCATAATACTGCTGGGCATAAATTCTAAGACAAAATGTTTTAAATTTATATTGTTTATTCAAAATCACACTAAAACTCCTACACTGAATAATAATTGCATCATAATATAGCTAAATTGTTCAGTATAATTTTCCTTTAAAGTAAATGGTCTTATTTGATGGCAAAATGATTTAATAATGTACTTGTGTCTTGCTTCTTGTCCTTACATAATTTGTGAAGTTTTCAATATTTAATTAAACTGCTCTTTCTGCACTTTGCAAATGTACAGGTAAATTTGGCAACTCCTGTGTTGTTCCATTCATTAGATTCTCTTGGAATTCATTAGTTGAAAAAAACTTTTATTATTAAATCAACTGCTTATATTTCAATTATAAATTTTGTAAGGCTATACAATTTATCAGTTCTGGTGGATAGTCGTCTCTGGTCAATAAACACATTTTCTGATGACTAAAGTTAACCATCTTGCTTGATTTAGAAACCCAATTTTTCAGCCAGCAAATCTAGGGTTCACTTTCTCTTGAGAAAATTCTGCTGCATATTCTAAGAGCAGTCTTTGGTTACCTCTTAAATCTTCCATTGCCCCTGCAGTAAGATAGTTATCTAGAGGGCTATTGATAGTGCTGAATTCTACCTAAGGCAAATCCTGGCAATCCTTTCTCCAAAGGACCAGTAAAAGTAGTAGGGCTTCTTGTAGTTCCATCAATGTACTTAAAAACGGCTATAAATGGAACTTCATTTTGATGAAGTGAACAGCCAATGGTGTGCAACTTGTTCCCCCCCCCCCCCGAACTGTAACATGCTCTATTTCACAACCAGTGTTTGTACTGGTATTGAACTGCCTTAATGGAATTTATGCTGTTGAATTCTTTTAAAACAGCAGCATCACCCTCTGCTAGAACAACACTAGTGTTAGGAATAACTCTGTGGGTGAGATATTTAATTTCCATGTCCATCTTTGGTTAAAGTCCAGTGGCACTCTGGTCCTTTTGGTTTTAATTTTTTTTCCGTTTTCCTTTTTAATCTCTTCGTATAACAAAATCTTTATCAACTCTGCAATTAACACCAATGCAGATATTTTCATGCTTCTGATAGGTAGTTACTTTTACTCTAGCCTTTTTTCCCCTCCTGTCTGTTTTTGACTTAGCAGTTATAATGTCTTTGAAGTCAAAACTTGAACAAAGAAAGCCCATATCTTCTAGGTCTAATGAAAAGGCATTAGCAAGCCAAGCCCCAAGGTTGGAAGATACATCAACCTTAATAAGTTCCATGGCATACCTAGAGAAGGTAAGTTCTCTTAGACAGTCTCCATGACTCAAAACTGTCATCAGTCATTTCTTCACTGGAGGACATTGGTGGAAAAATATCCGATGTTGAAGCAATATGTAGAATCCTTTGTTGCTATCTTTCAATCTGCCTGTCTAATCTCTCTGCTTCAGTTTGATATTTTTTGACAGCATCTTTATCAATAATTCAAAGTTAGAATCTGCCTTTTGTTTCTTATTTTTTCACTGAGTTTTTACATATTCCCTTTCTTCAATGGAAATCTGAAATTTCAAAATGTGTATAAGTTTAAAAACATATCTAGCATACACGATAAATATGAAGGAAAATATCAAAATATTATTTACCAGTGAAGGGAAGGTTATCAAAGGTAAATTTATATCTTTCAATTAATATAAATTTTGAAAATCATAATAGGGACTAGCTTAAATTAAACAAAGAAAAAGAAAACTGCATAAAATTAACATTAACTTCTTGTGAAGAGGACAAGTGTAAACATTGCCCTATTTTAATAAAATTTAAAACGTAATTTTGAAATAAGAAAAATAGAATATTACCTATTAAAATGGAAATAGACAGAAATAAACAAACTTAATGTTTTAAATAAATGCAGTCACTTCAAAAATACAAAATTATGTAGATTAAACAAAATGCTTACTTTCTTTTTCAAATAATTAAGTCTCTTGTATAAAAATACAAAAGAAGTAATCAATTTTACAGTGACAAACAAAATGTTTATAATGGTGTGAAGTTAGATAATATTCGTTGAAAGAAAGTTCCAGTACAAGATACATAAAATAAATGTCTATTTTATTCCTGTTTTTAAAATGAAGAACTTTTTTTTTATAAAGAATTATTCTAATATTTTCCCCACTGGAAAATAACAAAACCTAAATTCTATATGAGAAAAAAGTAATCGATTTTTATCACTTGGCCACAAACTAAATACATATTGTATTTAATCTCCATTTTGCCTTCTTTATAAAGTGAATATTTTTATATTATTTATAATTCTGATTTATTGAGAATGAGTAAATATTGCAATTGGAAAATATTTTAATGTTTTTACACCTCTGTTTTCCTTATGGGTATGGAAGTTTTTTTTTGACAGCGTTAAAGCTTTCACTGATCACTAGAATGAAACCTAAATTTAATCTTTAAACTTGTTCCTCAAAAAACGGTAATGATCTTGAGAAAAAATATTCTCATTATTTATCACGTCAAATATTGAGTGCAATACCACGGTTCCAAAATCAACCTGCCCTACTGAAGAGTAAAACTTTATTTTCATCAGAGTTGAGAACATGTTCTGCAATCTGTCTTCAGTATGTTACTGAATCTATTATGTTTTATTTTGTAATGACAGATTTTACAGAATTGAGCTTCAACAACAAAGCCTATGATTTTTTTTTTTTTTTTTATTTTATTTAGCTCGCATATACTTTCTTTTAGCTGAAAACAAGAAAGGAATGAAGTATAATTTCTTTTTGTCTTTTTATTTTGAGTCTGTATTTACATAAAAGCAAAGTTTTTTTTTGTTTTTTTTCTGAAGGGTCATGCATGCATTAAATTATATTATGATTGTTATGGCAGGGCATCCAGCTGCCTACTTGTGACCTCTTGCTGAGAACTAGACGAGAAGTGTGGCAGTTACGTCAAAGTCAAGATCCAAACTATACAAAACCTGCACCCACTGAACTCATTGCTTTCCAGCAGGACTTGACAAGTCTCCGTCACATTGCTGCAAATGTCAAATCAGCTTTGAAAAAAGTAAGAGCTCAATGCAGTTTTACAATCTTAATTTGAAACTAGATTATATTTGTTTTTTAAAATATCAAAGATACTTGAATATCTTTGAATAAGGTTTTGAGATTAGATTTCTGTATATATATATATATATATATATATATATATATATATATATATATATATTTTTTTTTTTTTTTTGTATATGTTTAAAAATTTAAAAGGTTAGTAAATAGGCTGATTTCTGGTATGTACTAATTTCCTATTTAAAAAGCTTAAATATTTATGTGGAATATTACCTGTGCTAAATTTTGTATTTATAATATTTAAACATAACCAAAAGGAAAGTGGATACCTGCAATATGCATGAATAGAGAGAAGACTTAAAATTTTAGCACTTGTGATATAGGGCAGAAAGTTAGTGTGGTATCAAGTTATAAATTTCAATTTCTTAAAAAATATTGCTGTCATCAGGAAAAACATGATTTATTATAGATCTCTCACTTAGCTACCAAATTCATTTAAGGGCTTCTATTACACAAAAGCATGTCAGATATTTACCCAAGTTTGATGTCTATAAGAGGGGCTACATAAAAGTGGAGCTACTGTAAATTACTTTTATTTTATTTAAATAATTAATAAAATTTATCAATGTTCTGGTATATAATATGCTCCTCGTTAATTTTCGTGTTTGATATAAAATTTCTTGGATCATACTTATTTAAGGTATTACAGCAGTTAAACTGCCCATCTTGTTGTAAATTGAGCATAATACTGAAAGTCAATTCACTTTTCTGTTATTTTTGGTTGATTTTTTTTTTTTTTTTTTTAATTTTTTAAAATGAAGAATTGTCAGTTTACTACTTAGACTTATTTGAATTATTGTTCTTATCTTTGTTATAGATGATGTTATAAACAATATTTTGGGTCAAACTCTTATTTACACATCTGTGATATCCCATATCAGCCAAAATAAGACACCTGAAGATGTCCAGTTGGAACTTGGCCAAATCAAAGTTCCATAACAATATTTAAGCCTCCAAAATTTGAAATTTGTTCTAATATTGAAGAAAAACCTGCTTGTAGATATGTCACTTAACTTGGAAACTGACCCTTTGAGTGTATATTTTGTAATAAAAGAATTTGGATATTATTTTTATTTAAATACTAATTTTCTTATGACTAGGTTTTCTTGCATGAAGCTACAGCTCGTATCATGGCTGGTGCAAATCCAAGTCGCACTCAACAACTTCTTGATCAAAGTATCAGAAGAAGATTTGGCAAAAACAAAGAAGGTATGTGACTCAAAAGTGGGAAAAGTATCTTTTCTTTTTTCCTTATATTATATTTCCTAGAAGAGTATGGGCTGCACAAATGTAAATAATTTTTTTTTTTTTTATAAAAATGTGTATTTATTACAGTTCCATTTGTAATGTCTTATTTACTAATAACAGCAAAGTTTTATTCTAAATAAATAAAAAAAAAAAAAAACTCCAAAAGCCTTCTGTTGTGATAATTGACTTTTGCTATTCATATTTAGTATATAAACTGATTTTTTTTTTTTTTTTTTTTTTTTTTTTTTTTAACTCAAATTCTAAATTTCAGTAATTACATTAACTTGGGTTTCTCCAAAGCTAATACTTTAGCTTTTTTTTTCTTTACAAAATTGTTTTTGTTCTAAGTATCTTGAATATTTGAATATTACTAAGTAACTTATTATTTACCATTTAGTTCTATTATCTTTCATCTTTTAGGCAACTTTATATCATCTTTCCAGAACCTAAGCAAAAAAATGTTGTTAGTACTTCTGTACTGTCATGAGTTGATTGCTGTCATGCTCAATTTCCTTACCTGATTGCAGTGTGTTGTCCAGAAAATCTCCCAGTCAATCTTGGCATGTTTAGTTATTTAGTGTTTTCTTCATAAACTACACTATTTTTTTGCATTTGAATTAAAATGTATAATATGCAAAAAAAATATTGCTTATTTTCTTCCATCCTCAATCAATAAATAAAAATTATGCTAATTTTAATTGCATACTGATACAGTGGCTTTTACACAATTCATTTTTAACTAAAAGTAAATGCTCTTAATACCATCTGACAAAAACAATGAGCATTTTGACCAACACATATTTACAAATAATTCAAAAAAATTTTTCTAAAATACAAAATACTTTTTCCTATAAAATACTTTTATGGTGAGTAAATCCATTTGCAGACTTTGATGATTTTAGAGAGCCAGTGTAATTTTTAAAAAGTTGTTAGAAATAAAGAATTTATATATCCATGTTTTTAGTCTTATTCATTTCAAATGTGCATTTTATTATTTTAATAAACATTTTCAGGTAATTTTACTTGTAAGCAATAATTATTGATGGTATCTTGTCAATGCTTTGTGTGTGATTATGACTATCAGAAAAGAAGTGGTTATAATACTCCTAATGTTTAAAGTTTCAACTGAAGTTTAATTTTGGTTTTAACTTTTGGTCTGAAAGATATTGATGTATTCTGTATCAAGAAATATAAGAACGTTATGAACACCTGTTTATTAACATTGTATTATTCATTTCATTCTGTCAGTTCTATATTTTGTGTGGACTACATAAGTTTCAGCTTAATTTTTAGAATAGTATATTATTTTATTTTACCCTTGATTCTATTGAATTCTACTTTGTTTAATATGAAAATATTTTTGACAAAAAAAAATGAGCTGAATTTCTTTCTGTTGTAGATGCTACAAATTCTCAAAGTCTAGAGAAGTTCATTGGAAACCATGATGAAGCATCAGCTTTGATTCTTGCAAGTTGCCATTTACCATCAGCACCTGCCACCTCCGAATCTATGGTTGGGGATAATCTTAGCCGGCGCCAAATGCTTGAAGAAGCAGCTCGAGTTTATGACTCATTACAGGACAAACGTGCAGTAAATATGTGTCACAGTTTGATGAAGAATCTGGAAGCAGACAAGTGTAAACCGTCCCTGGTACCTGGTATGCGGCATCTCCTTTTTCAACCCATACCACAAACTGTGAAATGTTGATTCCAAAAAATTCTCTTCAACTAAGTAGTCACAATTTAAAAGCCCTGCTATAATAAGCTGTAGATATCTATGCTTCTGGGTTTGTTATCTAAGCAATGACTTTTGTAAGCAGTATTTTTTTTCCTTATTTGAATATCATTTAATCAACAAGGTACTATAAAGAAATATTTCCAATACATATATATGAATAAATGTTTGCAAAAAGAAGAAAAGAATAATTAAATCAATGTATTTTTCACTTAAAATTTTTACTTTCTATTGTTTTTTTATTTTATTCTACAACTCAAACTTTGTAATAAATAGTATCATCTTGATTTTTATATATGCATTCATACACCTACAGATACACATTGTGAAGCTTAGAAATTTTTTAGCTGCACCACTACCACTAATCTTAAGTTTTAGAGTTGTGCACCTCTCAATCTCTTTCACTAGCAGAATTTGAAAGTTTCTTAGTAGTGTAACAGCTGACTTGAGGGAAATGTTCAACTTCTCAAATTTTGGAGGTCAATTTTTTTTTTTTTTTTTTTTTTGTGAAAACATGTGATGCCAAACCAGTAAATAGATATTCAAACCCATAACTGTTTTACTTTTTCAGATTTTTTTTTCTTTTCTCACTTTAGAACAGATATATTTTAATTGAATAACAATATAAATCTGACATTAACATATCATTGAAGCGTGAATCTATTTTTTGCTTAGGTCATTATTTTTCTTTTGTCTTGGTGATAGAATTCTTTTGTTTTTCACCATCAGTCATAGTTGGGGGTGGTGTTTCTTTGCATAGTGCAGAACTTATTTTGCATACACAGCAGGATAACAGCTTCAGTCATCCTTGCCAATATACTAAAAACAATTACTAACAACCTTAAAAACATTTCTGTGCCTTAAGCAAAGTCTTTTGACTCTGACTTGCCTAAATTAGCCATAATCACATTAGTCTCCCTTGTCTTTTTTTTTTTAATAATAATGGCTAAATGGTGTAAATCTTGTTCAAACGGAGAAGTGATTTGCCCCTACTTTATGTTAATTATGACCAGTTTGTAAAATTCTCTGTAATTCTCTCGATTTGTAAGGTTTATTTTTTTTTTTAAAAAAGTCTTGTAGAATATTTTTGTAATCTGAACAGTAAAATTAATCTTTTTAACTGTCTACTTTTTTGATGTTTAACAATATATGTAAACAGTTTGCTTTCATTGTCCTTAGCAAAAATTGATTCTGCAATCCAGTTGATTCTATTACCCCCCCCCCCACTCTTAATTTCAGACCGACAATTGTTCTGAGTTATAACATCTTTCTTAGACATAAGAGTTTAACTCTTAAACCTTGAAATTGCTAAATGTGACAATGTTGTTGTATTCATTTAAATACATCTAAACATTGCTTTTACCAAAATAATAAATTTTATAATTGATTTGACACAATGCCTCTAATTCCTTGATTTTGTGTGGATTTTATATCTTAGCACTAAAAACCAAACTCTGTTTTCTTTTAGATTTTTACAAATGATATAATTTATTAAATTTTATCTTAGTTTTACTGTCAGATGTCCTTTCTGGTGCCAATTTATTGTCAAGGTCTACTTTCAGTATTTGTCTTTATGACTGAGTTATGCAAAGTATCAATTTTATTGCTTTAAATATAGAATTATTCTAACTTTTTTTCTTTAGGCATCAACTGGTTGACCTTGTTTCAATTGAGTAAATTATCACATTTTATGTTGTATATGTTCCTAAAGGTTGTTTATCACACTTCACCATTGTTAATAGATGGTGTTTCTGTACAAATCAGATATTAAATATTCATGAATAAAAATCTTGTATTTATAACTATCTGGCTCTTTTCATTTTTGTATATGATTGGGGATTGCAGTAAATGAAATTAGAGGGCACTGACCTGCCAATGATAGCATTTGCAAATGTAACTCCTCTAATGCTGCAGTTTTATTTGTAGATAGTGACGTCCATTATCATCTCCAATGAATTTAAAATCAGGATGACATAGTAGCCAGTTTTGTACAGTCTACAGTTCATGTTTTTCCTCAATATTTAATTACTGTTACCTTTTTAAAATTCAGTTGTTTCTTTCATGTATCTTGTTGTTCATACTACACAAAATTAACCAACAATAAGTGGATGATCATCTTCAAAACTTTTAAGTGTTTCTCATATTTCTGTAAAGTTTTAAAGAATTTTTCCCAGGAATTCTGTATGTAACAATTGATGGTGTAAAATGTCCTAACCAAACTTTGATTATCAGTTTTTCTTTAAGAATTTACTGATTAGAAACTGTTTCCTCAATTGAGTTATATTCATAGGTACTTAATGGCAGAAGGGCTTTCTAAACTCTGTTTATACCAAGTATAAATTTGAACCTTTGTTCAAATTTTCCAAGCTCAATGAAAACTAGGGAGGAAAAAAGGAAAAACAAAATAGAATTAAAAAAAAGTTTTTATTTGAAGCAAAGATCATAGAAAAGTTTCAATTTAATCTTATAGCCCTAAAAATCTACCTATAAGAGTAGATGAAAACCATAAATATTTAGCAGTGTCTAAAATTTTCCAGGCATATCTTCCTATACTTGTGGAAGTCAACCAGAGAAAAAATTCCAGCATAGAAATTTTGAACAAGAGCAACTTAAAATGAAATTGTGTTTGTAATTTGCAGGTTAATGTATCACAAAAAAGTAACTCTTCTTTAGCAATGGCATTGATGCAATAACGTGACATGTTTAAAAATGATTCTGCATTTTTAGTGACTTTTAACTTGGATTCAATTCCTCGAAGTACATCATTGGTTTTTAATATAAGCAGCATTTGCCGAGGTATGCGTTCTAAAACTTCAGAAATCTCCACTACATAATTTAGGGCTTGGTTCTGGATTTCTTTAGCCTGCAAAAAAAAAAAAAAAAAAAAGAAAGTGTTTTTGTCTTTATACTGACTAAAATTGTTTCTAACTCCAAGTATCTAATTAATGTTTTGGAATATTTTTAATATCAGTAATTATTAAACAAATTTGTAAAATAAAAAATCTAGACCAGATGAAAAGAAAAATCTTCAACCATATTATTTTGAGGTTTTGAAAGTTATATAACCAGTACATGTCTTAGTTTTACTTTTTATATATCTATAGCAGGATTTTTTTTTCTATTATAACTAGTATTTAGATTTTAAGACAGAACATTATCATATCCAAAACACAAACAATATGTATGTTAATAAACAGGCATGAATTTCTCTTGCTTTAAGTATCTGTTATATACCTGTAAAAGTTTTGCAAAAAGTAATTCAGATGAACAAAAAAAAAAAAAAATTGTTTCTTAAAATGTGCACATATTGATCTGAATATTCAGAGTTGCAATTTGTATTTTCAGAGAGTGCGTTTATGAAACCCTACAGTCTCTTCTGGTATTTGTCAGTTACAATTGTTTGTTACTTAAGATGAGTAGAGACATATACTCACCCCCACCCCATCAATTTTGATTGTGAAATGCAATTATCAAGAAATCAATACCTGTTTCTCATGCTAAATTTGAGTATTTTAGACAAATACAAAATATGGGCTGATGTTTTCAATTGCATGCAGTTCTATTCAGGTACTACATTATTTTAGAAATGACGAAAGAAAGAAAATGATTTATCACTCAGAAACCAAAATTTTATGAAAGTTGTGCTCAATATAGTCACAGTATAAATTAGATTTGCTCTGTGAATGAAGAAATACAAATATGCCTGAAAAAGCATCTGCTACAGGGATTATGTAGCCACCATGGGAGATAGGCATTACTACCTCAGGACACAAAGCATTAATTATGGTAAGTTTCAGGTTAAGAAGAGTGCTTTTATAAGTGGCATTCAGTCGTGTTCTTCTATTGCAGGGGTGGGTATTACTCAGAAGTGTCTGCCAAGTGTTAAGCTACTTTTGAAAGTCGTTCTGATGTTATATGGATCACAGATCTTTTGTATTTTTTCTGATAATCCCCTCACATAGGGTAGGCAGACTGATGCTGCAATGTATCCAGGGTAGTTGTTACATTGTAGAGTCCTGCTTATACTGAGCATCTCTTCTTCATATGTCTGTGGGTCACCATTATGACTTTTACTTGATGTTGTAAGCAGTGGACAATCTCTTTCTTTACACTGGGTGTTGAGGTTTTGCCCAGTGAATGTTGTCTTGCAGTATACAGATGTCTTGAACCCATGCTCTGTTCAAGATATTAGTATATCTAAGAATGCGAGTTTGTTGTCATTTTCTCTCTAAAAGCATTGGTTGGATCCAGTGACTTGACCCAAACAGTTGAGTTCAATACCTGGCTACTGCAGTAGTAAACAAAAACTTGGAGAGTTAAAGAGAGAGATAACTGAGACATCCAGATGAGATATGGAACTAGAACAATCTACCCCAGTGGACAAAATAAAGGGTTCAGTTTGAGATTCCAATCACTTGAAGGAGGCCGGAGCATACAATGACTGAAACGTTGTGAATATGTCAATAAAGATAAGGACAACAACGTAAAGGAAAACTAATTCTGTAATTTAAATATCAGTATGAAGCTGATGACATAGCTAGGCTAACTCAACTTCTAGAGAAGAGAATTGCTCAACATATTTCAGTGTCTATTAGAAAAAGCTGACTGGATAATTTACATAAGTGTGCCGTTACATCCAGGTCTATTGCAGAATACTTTATACAAAATCAAAAGTGTCTATCATCCTTTTAAGAGGACATGCTCTCAGTTCTGTGAGGAATCACATTTTAAGTATCATTTAAAAATCTTTAAAACTATTTTCATTAAATCAAGATAAACCTCATTACGTAAATAGAAGGAATAGTTGTTAGTACTGAATATGATTTGCTTATAAAAATATAAGTGTCTCATTATATTATTTATACATGTGTACTTTCTTTCTCATGTTTCCTATTTATTCAGTTGTGCACAAAACAACTTTACTTTCCTTGATCAAGTTCTGAGGAGTGATGACTGGTTATTCTCTTTTATTTTTTTGTCTAATTTCGTATTGCCAACTACTATAGTTATTTTCCCTTTTTTCCCCTTTTAATTATTGCTTTAATTAAATTTTGTACCACTAATAAGATTTTGAAGTGATTTGTTGCATAAAGATGTATAAATAAAAAAAAAAATAGACCATAGAAAATATATTGTTGAAATGTGCAAAATAAAATAAATCATGAAGTGATTGCTTATTTACCTCATCTTGGCTGACAGGTGTTTTATCGATGCCTGAGAGGATGGAGCTCCATGATCGAGCAGTTAGTATACAAGCAAAAAGGCCATAAAGCTCTCCACAATTCATCTTATGAGCATAGTGCTTAATACTTTTAAGGTCAGCTCTGATTAAGGACATCCATAACTGGCAATAATTCAATCGGAATTCATCAGTTAAGATCTGGAAGCAAAAGGACAAGATGATTTACAAATAGTGCATGATAAATACAGGCTTGAAATTTTTATCTGAGAGATTATTCCTGTTACAAGTGAATTACTGGACATGTACAGGGGGCGATAGGTAAATTGTCGCCATTTTAGATTGTTTGGGTGTCAATTTGAGGACAGTGAAGAGGATTCAGTAAGAGATGGATGAGTCTAATAGTGATTATGAAGGTGTTTGGAGTGATGACGACGTTATGCCTCCATTTATCTTCCTACAGGGCCTCAAACTCAACACAGGCCTAAATCAAGTACCTTGAGGAAGTAGTGCTGCCCTGCGCCAAGAGGGTGGCTACTGGGAGACCCTATGTCTGGCAACAGGACTCTGCCACACAAGCAGAACCAGTCATGATTGTCAGACAATTTCTGCAATCACATCACCCTTTACATCTGGCCATCTAACTTCCCAGACTAAAACTCCTTCATTATTATATGCGGGGTGCAGTTGGGTGAGATACCAACAAAACTTCTTGTAACACCAAAGATTAACTGAAGGCAAGGATTATGACAGCCTTCACCAACTTAAACAAGAGGACCTGTCCAGAAGAGTTGCAGGAGATTCCAAAGTTGTTTGGAGGCTGTGGTCGAAGCTGATGGCAATTTTATTGAATAAATTTAATCTTTAGTATTTCAAGATATTTTTGTGTAATTTTGGTAAATATATCTGTTAAAATGAGGTGTCAGTGTTATTTTCATTTTTTTGTGTAATTAAGGCGACAATTTATCTATCTTTATGTATACATAATAGTATGTTCCCAAAGCATATATAGAAACTTTATGCTTATTTTTTAAAATTTAATAATTTATAATTATGTAATAATATAATTACAATAAAGATTAGATATAAGCATATTACAAGCCAAATATTTAAAGCCAGAAAATATTTTTAGATTGTAAGGATTTTTTTTTTTTTTTTTGAGATGTTTTAATGATACAAATCTTACTAATTAACCCATATCTGGGGAGAGAAGAGGTGGATTTATAGCTTTCTCAAGTGTATTTGCATGTAAGTGATTATAATGAACCATACTAGAATTGAAGTTCAGCTCTCAGATTTCCAATTCTGAGCCATTATCCATTACACCACCCACACATCCAAGCAATCTTACTGAGGTACTGACCAAGCTCAATGTTGCTTAACTTCAGTGATAGTACATGAACCAATGTTTTCAACAGGATATGGCCATAAGCCTCATTTGTGTGTGTATTTGGTAGGAATGTTGAAATCTAAGAAAGACACTGCATTCAGCCTACAAATACTTTAACTTCATTAAAGTTGACCTTTTCTTAAATGATGGATATTTACAAACAATTTTTTTTTATTTACACTCAGACTATTGTCCTCGTCTTTTGTTATTATCATAACATTTTGGCTGTTGGACCCTCTGGCCTTCATCAGATGATTGTTGATCCAGGTAATCATCCCAGAATTTCAAACTAAACTCTTTATTTAATCTATGGGAGTTGATGTTTCTCATTCTGCTACCTATATTTTATTTAGTACTTCTCATTTATTGCTCACCCTGCTTCCATAGAGTCTATATCTGGACTACCTGGTCCAGGGATTGAACTCATAATTATTATGTCACCAGATTCATGAACCAATACTTTAATCCTCTAGTTTATTGTCCTGGAGGCAACAATAGCTGAAACTTTGTGATGATAACAATAAAGATGAGGATATTAGTCCCCTGTGTAAATAAAATTAAATCTCCATCTAAGAAATTCAGACAAAACCAAAAATCTAATATAGAATGTAAAAAGCACCTGATGAAGGTCAGTGGGCACAATAGCCTAAACATTGTGAAAATAACAACAAAGATGAGGATATTAGTCTGCATGTAAATAATGATAATTCTTCCTCGCAGAAATTCAGGTAGTTTTTTTTTTTTTTTTTTTTTTAAAATATCACAATTTACATGAATAATTGAAATTTAAAACTTTGCTTACATTTTATAAGTTAGGTTTATTTTCACTGTCCATTTTTAGCTTTAAACAGCTGAGAAATTTAAAGTCAATGTTTGTGCTGAAAAAAATTTCATTGATTTTATAAATAAAACATGAAACTTGTACTTCAAAATCATTAACTCCTTTTTGTAGTATTGTTTTCCATGGTCAAATTCCTAAAAATCTGGGGTAGCATTTCATCTGTATATACGGATGTTTAAGAATAATAAGTTAGTCATTAAACATGTTACATTTAATTTACCTAAGAAAAGAAGTCTTTTGCTTTTATTCTTCAAGACAAGCTTAATTATGGCAATGATTAAGTGAAATGACTCTCTCTCTCTCTCTCTCTCTCTCTCTCTCTCTCTCTCAATGCATAGCGCAGTCTTTGCAAGAACAAAAATCTCCTAAATGCTCGCTTCCACTTCCAATTTTTTTGCTGCCCTTCACCATTGTTGTATACCACCTTTTAAAATGGGTGGTCATCTCCTTGTATGCAAATGAGTGATGTTCATAAAAAGGCTCAACATCACACATGCGCCTTAGACCTTTTGTAAATGGCGGTCTGGCAGGCCAGACACCTTGAGTGCTTTGAATCAGGTAAGTATGAATATCTCTTGTCACACTCCCCACTGATCAATGATCACACGGGCCATTTCACCCTAGCACTCTTTCACTGTGGGACAAGAACTTCTTCCTCCCCCACCAAATTGTCAGAAGTGCTGGGGTCTGAATCAGAATCTACAGAATGAGGGAGCTCGATAAAGGTAGGTCCCAGCCTCTCTCTCTTGCTCTCAGATGAGGTGCCACAACTGCCTGCACTGGAGCCAGCTTCCCACCATTTATTACTCCCTGATGACGTGTCACTGCCATCATCCATTGGTGGCTCTGAACCAGGCTGTGGATGCATGTCTCCCACGTGCCAAGGTGTGCCGCTGACAACCACTGACTGTGGACTGGTTATCCCGGTAACACGACCTGATATGAATTTCTACATGCACCATCCTTGTGGATTTTCCAGTCAGACTGCATCCCTCTCTCTGTACCAGGCTGACCTCCCTTGGTGGTCTCCATTCTCGCAGTTTCTCTGTGCAGACATCCACAGCATCTGTGAATGTTTCAACATAGGTGTTTAGTTTGTGATAGTCCATTACAGGATACATCTTATGTCTGTTGGTCTGTAGTATAGTCATCAGCAGTATCAGTCTCTTGGGTAGGCCAAACACCTCCTCAGTATATGGTAGCAACCAACCATTGCCCATCCATTTCTGCATCAACTCACTAGACACCAGGTATTCAGAGATCCTGTTCCCAAGTTTCTCTGGTGCATGACCCACTGACCACTTCCAGGCTGGAGACCTACACTCCCTACCACTTGTTGAATTTTGCACTAAAATCAGTGCTTCACAGATGGGCCATGTTTCCTCAAACTTCATGCTTTCAGACTGTGTTATGTGAATGCCTTAATGGCATCGATGCCAAGCAATAGATCAAAATCCAAAGGCTTCCCTCACATAACCAGCACATCAATCATGGTAGTGTTACCAGTTGGTGTGTGAATCCTAAAGGTGCCCCTTCTTCAGTAGGCCTGCATGTCTCCTGTTAATGTGGTTACCACCATATCCTGCTTCAACTAAGACTGACATAGTTTTGCGCTAAGAATGGAACATGAGCACCCAGAGTTGAAAGCCAAACATGGTGTACCGTCAATGTAGACAGTGATGATAGGTAGCACTGCGTTCACCTGTTGCCTCAGTGCTAATGTCTCATCCCCAACAATCTCTGACCAGGTGATCAGTCTTGTTGCACCAGTAACAATGCGCATGTATGATCTGCCCTCTCCACACGTAGTCCCTCGTGAAGGGATTGGGACCACTGCACTTATAACATGTAACAGATAGGCTCACGCCCAGGGACAGTTGAGTAATCTGGGCTGGCTGTACCACAGCAACGACTGGTTCCTCCACTGCAGCTTTGTCCTTCATATGCACCTGAGCTTGGGCCAACAATTCCCCAAGAGGCATATCATCCACTCTGGAGCAGGACCGTAGGTGCCACTTCATGGGGCCAGGAAACCCCACACAAACAAATATGCCACAGCATGGTCTGGGATTCCTTTGAAAAGGACCAACAACTTCTGCAAATGCACCAAATCCACATCTACAGTCTCACCTGGATGCAACACATGTACCTCAAACTTCTCATATGGCATGAATCTATCAGTGGCAAAGGTAGTGATCAGTGCTTCCTTAATTTGGGTCACGCCTGATTTCTCACCCTTGGTCAGTTGTTGGTAAACAGGAGATGCTCCCCCAGTTAGGAGAAGAGAGATGACCCGATCAAGCTGCTTCATCCCAGATAGGTTGCACACCAATTTCAGCTTCTCGATCCAGACAATCACGGCTCCAGTCCTGTCAAATTTGGGAATAATTTTCAAGCCAAACCGGCTGTTCATCTCTGCTGAGATAGCTTGTTAATGAATAGCTTACTCTTTGCCATGTCCACTCGCTTCCACTTTCAATTTTTCTCTGCTGTTCATTGTACATCGCTTTTTAAAGCTGGTGGTCGTCCTCATATGCAAATGACCAATGTTCATAAAAAGGCTCAATATCACGTATGTGCCTTGTACCTCTTGTAAATGATGGTTTGGCTGGCACTTTGGATCAGTTAAGTGCAAATATCTATTGTCACATTCTCTTTTCACAGTGTAAACAAATCATTTTGGTAGACTGAATTCAACTTATGAACTTATGAATTACACTTGTAAAAATGTGAAAATTTAAATTACAAAATGAAAATAATTATTTTTTGATAGAATTCAAGAAGTATTAACATTTTTATAAAAAAAAATCTGCCAGGATTTCTAAAGTCATTTGATACATTGTAAATTCTGCTACTGCAAGAATAAGCAAGACTGAGTTTTTAAACATTATAAAAAAAATGAAAGCATAAAAATATATTTAAACAATAAGAGCTAATTTTTTTTTTAAATTTCTTATTTTTTGTCCTTGAAATGAAGGTGTCTATAATTACTTTTACTAAAAGAGACATATGGAAAATACTCTTAAATAATTTTTATTAAAATCCTTTACTTTTTCCCTTCAATTTCTATTATATACATGTGCAATGAAAGTATTAATAAAAATACATCTTTTATTTAACTAAACTATGCATAGAGATTGGAATGTAATTGGACAGTACAGCTTGTGTTCTACAGATGAAAAAGTCACTCACAACCTGCAAGACTAGCAAAATATAATGTTCACATTCTGACATCCAGTAGGGAGATATCACTTTTAACCAGAAATTAAGATAAAATTCTCAACAGTAAAGTTTCAAAGATTTTAAGCATGATGTAGTCATAAAATATATGAAGTTTTAAAATGATAAGTGATATATTGAGGGCTGGTGTAGGGGAAGCAATGCAGAGGAGTGGTAATTCAGAGTTTAATTTCTCGTGTAGAAATTAAAAAAGAAAAAATGCAATTTTTACCTGATATAAACCATGATCAAGCAATGTCAGTGTTGTCTCCCCTTTCTTCATTTTATTCACCAATATATTTCCCGGGTGTGGGTCACAATGTACGTATCCATACTTGAAGATCATCTCACTAAATATTTTGCTCATTTTCTTTGAGACCTGAGAGAAAAAATATGAAAGTTTCTCTATATATTATTAATCATAAATACAAGTATTAAAATAGATACATAAAAAGGAATAAAGATATAACCATAGTATATAAGCAGGTTCTGAAAAATTCATTGACCAATCAAGAAGCCCCTTTCAAAAAAACATTTTTAAGGTTTGGTTATTTGGTGAGATTTTATGAAGCTGAATTAGCTAAGAACTCGTTAGGACCCCCACCCCTTTTGGATCAATGATTAAAAATGACTGAGGGAGTGAAGCATATAGGTCTCATCAGAACCATCCTTCTTTGAACCTTGTGGAATGGTGATACAGAATCATAAAGAAGTATACTGGATAATAGAAACCACATCAATTGAGGACTTACAGCAACAGCTGAAATGGGTAACACATGTAACTTGAAGAGAATAATGGCATAATCAAGATACTGACATTCCACATTACCTCAAACAAAAGGCAAGGAAGTAAAACCTCAATACTAAAAAGAGCAATAACAGCTACTGGACTTCCGAAATCCATTTTCCTGAAAAATTATTTTAAGAGAAGATTTTATAAAACAAAGGAATTACATGTGATGAAAGGAAAAAACATGAAACTAGCTATAATAAGAATGTGTGTGTGTGTGTGTGTGTGTGTGTGCATAACAAGCATGTGTGAGAGAGCACAAAAGTCAAGAGAGAAAACCATGAAAATGAACTTTCCCAGTGAGGACACTTTACCCATGTATGACTACATCTTAAAACCAGAGTTGAAAAGACCAAAAACGAGACTAGGGAGAGAAATGCATGCCTTTTTATTGGCTTAATGGGTGTCCTCTAGCAATGGTTTTTTTTAGCAAAGTTGTGGGATAGCCCACAGCTGAATGTTTCCTTATAAAGAAATGGCTAAAATTACTATTACCATGTATCAATAAAGATTTTTTTTCTGAAAAACATGTATCTAAATAATTCAAATTTCACTAGCAAGTAAGAAAAAAAAATTTTTTGCTGTATTGTCAATGAGATAAAAGGAAAAAAAAACAATCATATCAAAATATTCATAAATCTCAGCTCTTTCAAGTGTAAAATTGGTAATGGAATTAACAGTAAAAGAAAATAATTTATTTTGTTAATATTTCAACTTCTTCATATTATCCTCTTTTTATTCTTCACCTTATCAAAATGGGATAAAGAAAAGTGCCAGAGTAGGATCTGTGATCTTAGCATGCCACCCAAATATAAATTTTTACTGATTCAAAGAAATTTAACAAATTCTACAGATTGTTCACATTGCATTTCTAATTGATGTGACATGCCCAAAATAACACCATTGTGGGAATCATGATTAGAAATGCTTTCTCCACAACTCGTGACGGAAGAGTTTCAGTTATTGCATTTTTATGGGTTAACGCATTCCCACAATTGGCTCATGCTGCTAAGAGATGGGTGTTTTTATCAAGTCACTATGGTTAGAATGGTAGCAGATAAAAATTAATGTTTTGTTTTCTTTGTTTTGCCACTGGCATGCTTCAAGTTAAATTCTGCAGTTTACTTTTATACCAGTTGACAAAGTTTTTATATTAGTAAACAAAATTTCAACCAAATAAGTCTGTCCATTGCTTACTCTATAAATAAGACATAATGAAATATATTGTCCAACATTTCCACAGGATAGATCAATATCAAATATGGATCTGAACCTCAGGCCATGTGATAGCCAAGTCTGCAAGCTTGCATATTTCATCTTTTCAATTCTAACCTTAAAACAAAATTCCTTTTTATTACATACAATATCATATAAAACATTGATGTTATTTTAATAAGAAAAGCAACTTCTTGTTTATGACTAAAATTGTTATTTTTAAGGAGGCCAGATTAAAGTTTGTCAGAGAAATGAAATCACCGAAAGAAATGTTTAAAGGAAAGATGATTACCTCATTCACAGGTATTTTATTTTTTGTCATATATTCCTTATCATCAATATGTCCTCCAGTACAGTATTCCATAGTTAGAACTCTACTTGATGAAAGATTCCAGTAGATATGTGGCACCTGAAAAATAAGGTTAAAAATATGAAAGCTTCTGTGTGAAGTTAGATCAGTAAACCTGTCACTTGACTCAGTCATTAGCTAAGTTTTGATTTGGAATTCTCACTGTATGTTTAATCTGTGTGAACAACAAAAAACAAAAAACAAAAAAACATTAGGTTAAGTGCATTGAAAGGATCATGTTGAAAAATAAAATTGAGTAAAATAAATGCTTTTTAATTTATTGATCTATCTATGTATTTTTTTGTTTAAAGGTTTTTAGATGAGGTATTGTTATCATTCAATGATATTTTATTGACCATTATCCTTATTTTTTTATTGTTTTAGCCTTCTGAAGGTGGAATGTATCATTTTTTTCTTTTTTTTTTTTTTTTAAATCAGTATCACTCCATGCAAGGGAGTATCACAACTAAGACTCAAGGGGTTACAGGGTGTGGAAGAATTAAGAAACAGAAACATTAATAATGAGCAGGAAGAGCAATAGGAGGACAGTAGATAGAGATTGACATTGCATTTAAATTTTTGCAGATTAAAGTTGGCTAGAAAGCCTGGAGCTGGAAGTGAGTTCCACAAGCAAGAAGTGCGAGAAAAGAAACTGTTAGCATAGAATTTATGGTTACATCTAGCCAGCTCAACTGTAAATTGATGAGACCTCTAGTACTGCACTTAAATTCAAAAAGTCTAGGTACCATAGTGAAAAGCTTATCCAAACAATTATCATGAAAGTAATTCATATAGTTATGAATACTCTTATTTTTTTTCATAACCTTATCTATGCTGTAACATAAAGAAAGCTTAGAACTTAAAAGGCTTAAAAGTAATGCTAAGAGCAAAAATCAAGAGTATAATAAGGTTAACAAAAGAAATCATTAACAGTCTAATAATATTAAAACTTGGAAATTTGTTTTACTTCTAAAAAAAAAAAAAAAAAGAAAAAAAAAAAAGAAAAGCATTGCAAAAAAATTTCAATCCCATACAACAAACAAAATAACATAAATAAAAAATGACTATCAAACAATGAATAACCTATTTTTAGTTGTAGGGAGCAGCCAATGATATTAGACATAAATCTATTCAGACTAGTGTCTTCATTTTAGGTGTTACTGTCACAACTTTTTACTTTTTTTTTTTTTTTTTTTTAACTGTTGTATCATTTAGCCTTCTTCATGTGTCTATTGTATTTGGTAACTTTAAGGTTCTTTAGAACTGAATCCTTCATTCAAACCACAAAAGGTCAAACTGATTTCGGGAGCAATAATTTTTAAACGAACTCTCTGACAAGAACTAAGAAATGAATTGACTTATTTAAAATTTGTAGATCATTAAACTTGATAATATACCAATAGAGTTATCTCCCTTGAAACAAAGCCATTGCTCTACATCAGCATCTTTGTCAATTAGTAATAAGATTTCATTTCACAATGTTTTTTTATGTAGAACAAAACTTTTAAGAGTGGGGGAAGGGGTAAAAATTTATTTTATATATATATATATTGTATAACATTTTTCAGAGTAGACAGACACTACATTCTCAGCAGAACACACAGACACTACAGTTTGGAACGCAACACTTTGATCCCAGGTAGAAATGCCAACCCATACATAAATAATTTTTGTCATTTTTGACTGCTAGTAGAATAGTAATTTATAAATCTTATTCTTATAATTTCAAAATATAAAATTATAAAGGTTTAAATGCTTTTTGGTATTATACAATATAGATTTACAAATATTTTTATAATCCAAATGTCATTTTTGTGAGATAAAAGGATAATTTATCTTGTCTTAAATAATCCACTTATTCTTTTATATAAATAAATTAAATAAAAAAAAAATGATATCATATATAAAAAAAGAACAAACTGTACTTATTTACTTTGAAAAAACTCAAGTGTTGCAGCATTTTAGCAACTTTTTCACAATTTTTGCCTTCCTGAATAAAATCCAATTCCAATGGGAGATTTTTCTCTGTTTCTTCTGCTAACCACATGTATTTAAACCCAGGGAAAATAAACTTGACAGCCTTCACCAATAACTGGAAAAAGAAATTAAGACATTTATATGAATATAAAGATATGTGAAGAAAACATTATATAAAAAATTGTAAGTAGTAGTGAAAAGATTTCATGAAAAAGCAAATCAATGAATGAAATTAAAACTGAACAAAATAATCAGAAAATTGGAAAAGCTACAAAAAATATTTGATTCTTTACTCTTAGTAATATGAATTGATTAACTTACAACAGAGGCACAATGATTTTTTGGTTCAAATGTTTCCAAATATCTCATCTGGAAACAAATCTAGTAATCAAGAATTATTCATCACCTATTGTAAACTATATTAAAAACTGTTACTTTAGAAGTTCATTGCTTTATCACTAATAGTTACAGTTTCTGGTTTTTACTTTTAGAAAAATCTAAATAAATGGGTTATTATGAAACAACTAATCTAAATAAATAAATGCAAATGTCACACATTTCAACTTTACTCTGAGAGGCTGTCGCCCAACATATCATACCATTTTGGAATCAGGCTGACTCCTTGAGCAAATTAAAAACATTCTAGGCCACATCTGAACCTGAAGATTCCTGAGATTATTTTTGGCAAATTTTTTTATGTGATTTTTGCAACAAATTTATTTGTATGTTAACAATTTTTATAACTTGGAAATAAATTTTGGAATAACTGAAATTAACTGTGAAATCTAGCAAAAGTCACCAATGAAATAAAAATAATTGTTTATATGGAAACTAAGGACCTACGTACATCAATTTACCTTTAAATTAATTGGCAACAGAAGAATTATTGTTGAACTTTTAAAAAGGTAAGCTTAAATATTAATGCAATACTTAAAATACAGCAATCAATTTTGAGTTCTGTAGTTTATTGTTGCCTATAGCATGCAGCATCAGTATGCCTTGTAAAAAGAAATCTCTGCCAACAGAGGACCAGATTGCAATAAAAAAAGTCAAGGCTGCAACGAGGAAAAGAAAGTCCTGTGCAAATGAAAACCAAGATCAAACAGCAACCAGGAGAGCATCCAGTGCTGAGAATATGCAAAGACTTAGGGACTCTCAAGCTCCTGAACAACCTGAAGGCCCAAACAAGAGCTCTTCACAAGAATTAACTTAATTGCTGACCAATAGGGCAGATTTTAAGCTAGTATATCATAGTTATGTAGTGATAAACAAGTATTTTCTTAGTTATTAAAGATTCAATTTTTCTTAACTAAGATTTTATGTCAAAGAGAGGCTGAGAGGTTTTATAGCTTGCTCAATGATGTCCCCGAACTTTGAAATGCAAGGATATTAACTTCCCTAAATTAACTCATATACACACAAACCCAGTAATTTTTGTCACCTTTTAGAAATCTATAAAAAAACCCAAAAAAAAACAAAGCAAACATATGCTGATTCATGTCACTATTCATTAACCCATTTACATTCAACCCATCCTGTCAATATTGGCTCTCAATTTTCAACCTACTGTAACTTGCTCTATGCATACTTTATCATAATATATGACATCATTGCAAATAATGCTGGAAGTCATGCAAACAGTGAGACTTTGAAAGTCAGTATTTAAGGGGTAGATTTGAGCATGTTGAATGCTAAAGGGTTAATCTTAGCATATCCTGGCACAGTTGAAGGAGACTTGATAAAGATCAGTGGTCATCTCTTATCTATGGCTTTGCTTTCTGTGTTTTCAGTTACCTTTCAACTGCAGCAAATAAACAAAAAATTGTATACTGAGGTTGCTAAAATCTACATTATGTATGGATCTTCTGTCATAAGTTTTATTACTGTATATTATAGGTATTCTTGTTAATCTCTTATGCCAAATTTATAAATCAGATTAGATATAAACAGTATAGACAGGGGTATAGTTAATGCTTAACAAGCTAGCTTATTAAAATATCATTTCCTATGTTCACACAGTTTATATGTAATTTAATCTACAAAAGATATCACATTGTGTAATTTGGCCTGAAGATTGCCTAGAGTTGTGAAACTAACAGTATGTTTCACAGCAAATTACATTCTCTCTCTCTCTCTCTATATATATATATATATATATATATATATAAAAACAGTATTTCTTGCTTGAAAAACCTCAGATGACTCAACTTGTAGACACAAGTACCTGAGGAAAAAAGAGGAAGTAAAAAATGAAAGAACTAAAACCATCAGAACAAGGTGAAAAAAATCATCAAGTGTCTTAATTCCTTAGTCCAAAGAAAAAAACCCAAGCGAGTATAAAGACAATAAAAACTTAGAGGGCTAAGTAGAGCAGTAAATAGAATAAATCCTAATGAGCCAGGCAAACCAACCTAGGTTTCACCTAAACAGATCTTCAAGGTAGACTGGCTAAAAAAGAAAATGGCGGAACAGTATTTATGAATAAAATCATTAAAAACGAAACCACGTGAAAAAAAAAAAAAAGAGAGAGAGAAGAAAACCAAAAACACTATTCTAATAACCAGGCTCTCCTATGCCTAGACTTATTAAGTATCTTGGATCTTTTATTTAATAAATTCCTAGGTTTCTTATAGGTGACAATTGCTAATTTTTCTTCCTAAAATAACAAACAAAACTTGTCACCTGCCTTATATTTATGGCATATTTTTAATATTTCCCATTTCAAAATGGGGTCACTATTATCTTCTTGCTTTATATCCCATATGTAAGTGGACAAGCTGGTACTATGTCTATAGGTTTCGTGATTAAAACTACTTAGATGATTATAATAACGTTTTTTGTAATTGTACTTTATTTTATTAAGAATGAAGTTGATAAACAAAAACGGAAATTATTGATGACTCAACCTAATAGTTTCAATCAGTCATGATGATGATGTCTTATTTCAGACTTTTTAATACATGTGTAGACAATTTTAAGCAATTCCTCTGGCCTTTTAAATAATATATTTATGATAATGCAGACACGGTATATTGCACAAAATTTTAGTTGTAATTTTGGTGTCAACAACTTAAACTGTAAATCTTTTGAAAGTGCAGATATTTAAAATGATAAAAATGATTGAGATTTCACAAAAAATTTGTTTTTCTACAGTAAAAAGTAAAAACCAATTAATATGATTTACTTATTCAAGGAAAATACTTATTTAAGGTGACTATCAAAATTGATAACAGGCAAATTTTATTATGGTGATAATTTGCATATATCTTAAATTTTTTCCAGCTAGTTACAAAAAGTGCATTGCAAAGTGATGTGATGGAATAACCTGTGGCGTCACTATAGGTGGTAACCACCTATAAGTATCCATGAGGACAGCGGATGGGAGAGTCGAGCTGGGATCTGTGAGAACTAGTGGCCTTCCAATAGCAGCACACACACACACACACACAACCGTACTGACTTGCGACAACCGTGCACATAACTATTACTTCCTTGCTTGTTGTACTGGTTTCTACAATAAACCTGTTACTATTTATCCACTGGGTTTGTCTATTCCATATTCCTATTAGCATGGAATATAATACAAAGCTTCAAAGATAAATTCAAAACAATTAACAATATTAATTATTTTTTAATCAAATAACTGGCCTGCTAGCAAAATGAAAAAGCAAAGCGAAATTATATGAAAGCAAATAGATTAGGACATCTTACAGTCATTGTTTTTATATCCACAAAAGAATGAGCTTTCACACGGGGATATTGAATCTTCACAGCAACAGGTGTACCATCTTTCAAAACTGCTTTATGGACTTGAGCCAAAGAAGCACTACCAAGTGGTTTGGGGTCAATTGATGAAAATACTTCATCAGGCTGAAACAAAATTATTTAAATTATTTACATAATAACAACATTATTTATGCAGAGCTATCATTACCTTAATAAAAAGTAAATTATTTTTTTGGAAATGATGAGAGATTACATAAAATATTTAATCTATCTATATAATGTCTTGCAATGATCATGCTTGATATTGAGGTAGCAGCCATCAACTCTCTCTCTACACACACACAGATATATATTGTTAATAATAAAAAAGAAAAAGACAACACTCAATAATGTCAACTATGAACACGTATTGGTACAAAAGAAAAATTACATCAAATTCTTTTAAAATATACCAGACATTGATGCAAAAATAAAATACTAAATCACAATATATTTTTATGCAACTGAAATCTTAAATTTTGGAAAGAAATATTCACTAACATCTGGTATGCATTGCTCCATATTTTCATTTTTGTTTTTAAGAGTACAAAATGTTTGGGATAAAATACAAAGAATTCTTATTTAGCTGTTTTTTTCCTACCTCTTGTCCAAATTCTTCCTTGAAGACTTCAAGCATCTTTTTAACTGGTGTAAGTGGCACTTTATCATAAAGAATTCTCATAGTTTGCACATATTCAGGTGGCAGTAAATAATCCAAGGATCCAATATGTTGGCCAACTTTGATGAATACACCTCCATTATCAAGACACACATCTCGCAACCTCTCAGCAGATCGGGTGTGAATCTAAAAATAAAAAATGCAAACAAATGGCAAAAGTTGTTTTTAGTAACATCTAATTTCCCACATTGTTAAACTAAATAATAAAGTTTTAAATCAAAGAGTTACCCTATTAACATCCTGAGAGTTAAAATTCATTAAATTGAAACAAAGAGTTTGGTATGAAAATGTATTTTTGTTATGTATATTTTGAATTTCAGAAATTAACTTTAAGATTCAATTTATTATGTAACTATAATGCTAAACTAGGCCCTGACTTTGTGTGTCTTTTTTTTTTTTTAGTACATAATTTTAGAATATGGAAGCCTAAAAGTTCCTACTTTTGGTAAGAAAAAAATGCAACTTATTTTTCCTTTTAGGTTTCAGTATTTTAAAATTACCCACACATTGCATAAAGACATACATAAAATCAAAGTCCAGTTTTATATTAAGTTTAAATGGTAAATTGAACATTTTTTGTCAAAAATATGCACACAAAGTCAATGGTCCATTTGGCTTTATACATATATTGTAAATTGAACCCATCCCCTCACTTACCCTGCCACTGTAGAGATATTTACGTGTTGATATTTTAGAACTTAATTTTTCTTAAAAATAATAGAATTCCAAAGGAAATGATGGCTGTATTCAAACAGAGCAAAATGAATTCCATAAGAAAAATACATTCATATAAAAATTTATTACTTTAATGAAGCTTAACTGTTTTTACATTTATGAAAGATTTTAAATTTCATATCAAGAACTTTGTGCTCATTGGTACATGCTACACAGCTGTCCAATTCCCCTAACAGTATGATTATAGGTTTGTAATATGTACATTAATTACAGGCAGGATGGAAATTTAGATATGTTTTGTTTAAAGTTAGATGTATAGAATTTAGCAAGTTACCCTTAAAGTGTGACCTTGTGTCAAATCTATCAGATAAAATATATTGATGTAATTTATCTAGAAATTTATCTTTAGTATAGTGATAGTTGAACATCTGAAATTAGTAAGATACACTTACCTTTGATTTTATTTTTTGGTAGTCTTCACTGTTTGGATCTAAGTTCCACAATGTTATCTTGTAGTCAGCAACAATTTGCAAAGCCTGAAAATACAAGCAGCATATGTTATAACCAGTGAAAAAAACAATAACTCTTTGAAAAATTATTTATGCCTCAGATTAATTTGTAATTATTTGGGTTAATTTGAGTAAAGAGAAGCTAATTTTCTTGTGTCTTATTTGTTCATTGATTCTATATTTTTTGCCATGCTCTTATAATAAATGCTTAAGAAAAACTTTATAACAAAAGTAGAACATTGTTTAAAAAACAATGTTCCTTTTTATTACAAAAATAAAAAAAACAAACAATCAAACTTTAGTTATACATTCTTTGTTAATAATTATTTCTTTCTTTGAACAGAAGTAGAGGTTTATCCCTTGTTTCTTGGTTAAGATTGGGTCTCCAATTCCTTCTAAAGTCAATATTCTAAAACAAGAAGCTGGAAGAGAGTTCTAAAAGCAAGAAGTACAAGAAAAGAAACTGTTAGCATAGAACTTATGGTTACAGGTAGCCATTTAAACTGTACACTGATGAGACTTTTCTACTAATCTAATAATACACTTAAATTCATTAAGTCTAGGTACCATAGACGAAAGTTCATCAGAAGAATTACCATAAAAGTAATTATAGAAAAAGTAAAGGGAAGCTACATTATGGTGGTGGGAAAGTGACTGAAGCTGAGATGCCAGCTCAGAACCAATAACATTGCAGATTCTTCTTTGGATTTTATCAAGAATCTCTAAATACATAGTAAAAGCACCAGACTAGATTTGGCAGCAAGGATGTGTAAGGTAGCAGCGAGACGACGTGTATCTGCCTCGATACTCGTTGCCGTGAATGTCTTGTTTAAGTAGCCCACTCTCGCCTCTCATGTAAGCGGGCGAGTCTACTTCTATGGTGTGACGCCAAGACCATTCCGGTCTTGTAACTGGGCGTCTTAGGTTCGATTCCACCTCTACACGCCCCTCCCTTCCGGGGCCACAAGATACCGCGTTGTGGTCCAATGTTTTGAGGCTCTGGAGTAGTCGGGGCGACGTGCCCCACGTCTGTGGGGATAGGTTCCTGGGTGGTCGCGTCACCCTTCTGCTACGACGCACCGGTTGGTCTTCCTCAACCTCCATCATTCCAGGGGATGCTGTGTCATCTACCTCCATCGGTTCTGGTAGAGTGTCGAATGTTTCGGGCTGGTTTTGATCCATATCAGTGGTGGACCATTCTCCCGGTATTTCGGGCCCTGTTGGGTTGTCTATGGTATCCAACATTCCTGGGGGCACCTGAGGTATCGAGTGGCAAGGAGTATCTACTACTGGGTTTATTTTTTCGGAGGAATCTGCGATTGCGACGGGTTACCCGTTACTCCCATCCATGTGTACATTATACTGCCGGTTACCCAGTGTTTCCACCACCCTTCCTGTCTTTGCCCATCGGGCGCTGGTATGGACCAACTTGGTTCTGTATCTGCACCGTTTCCCGATTTTCAGTTCCTGAAGTGGGTGACTTTTTAGATTGTATTCTCTTTCATTCCTTAAGTGTCTTTTTGCCATCGCTGTTTCCCTATAATGACTGATTTTCTCCAGCGTTTGTGGATTCGATATCGGTCCTGGAGCACTGGGAGATGGTCCTTTATCACGCCGACCGAGAGAGCATCATCGCTGGAGACATATGTAGGTCTCGTACCGGGGTGTTGCGATGAGTCAGTAGGGACCTAGCTGCCTGGTCATGGCATAGGCGACCGCAACTGTCCGTGCTATCAACAAGTATCCTTTTAGCCGTTTTAACTGCTAGTTCTGCTCTCCCGTTGCTTTGAGGGTAATATGCCGATGATGTTCGTTTCCTTATGCCCCAATTATCTAGGAACCGTTAAATTCACTGGAGTCAAACGGTGGTCCGCCATCGGTTGAAAGTTCCTCCGCACGCCATCGCATTGCAGAACCAGTTTCAGAGGGCGTCACATGTAGCCTTGGCATTCCCGGACGACATCAGAGTGACTTCTACCCATCCGGTGTATCTATCTGCATATACTAGATAGTTCTTCCTCGTAAATCGAAGAAGTCCGTCACAGTCTTCTGAAATGGGAACTCGGGGTTCGAGGGCGGCATTAGGGGTTCTTTTGGGTTGTGATGGAGCTATTACGTTGCATACTTTGCACTGGGCCCGGTTTGATTTAATGCTCGCGTCCAGTCCTGGCCAAAACAGCCGCTGTCTAGCGTTTGCCAACATTCCATTGACGCCCTGATGCGCTGAATGGAGTGATTCCAGTACCTCCACGTAGCTTTCTGGGTATGAGGATTTTATTTTCCATTATCGTCACCCCTTCCAAGCAATATAACTCCTCTTTCATATGCCAAAACCGGGCGAATTGTCTCCGCAGTTCGTGCTTAGATTTAGGGAAGCCATTTTGTATGAATTCGGCGAGGGAACGGCATTCCTCGTCAGTAGCAGCTGCAGCCACAATCCTGTCCCATGTTATTGCTCTTAATTTAGGGTCCTGCTCATAGGTGGAGTTAAATGACGCTCTTATGGCGCTATCCATAGTTTGTGCGGTGTCCTCTTCGTTTGCTTCCTCCTGGCTTAACGCCACTGGGCATCTCGATGTACAGTCTGGTGCCGCATTGAGTTTGCCAGGAGATGTTTTATTCGAAATTTGTACATCAAGGACCGTTCTTTGAAGTTAAACAGTCTTGGGTTCTTTTTATGTCCTCCAGAGCTTTGTCCGAGAAGATCTTCACCAGGGGCTTATGGTCCACGGTGACTAACAGCTCTGGGCACCCCAAAACTAACATCCGCATGCTTCCAGTCCGTAGACTAATGCCAATGCTTCTCCTTCCACTGGTGCATATCGGGACTTCAAGGCCATTAGTGAATCGGGAGCCGCCAGGATTAACTTCCAGTGGTCCTCACCACACTTCGGTCCAGCTTCGTGGCACAGTTGCAGTGCTTCTGGAAAAGAAAATATCCTAAGCCTGTTTTGCTGAAGTCCGTCGACAAACAAGTTGGCCTATTCACTTCAAGGTTCTTACACCGTTCTCGATTTCTTCTGTGATCCTTCTTTTCACTCTTCAAGATTCGATCGAGTGTGCTGTCCCAGTAGAACTTCCGATTTTTTGTCTTTAGCAGCTCTCGAACGGGCCATTACCTCGCCTGAGAAAAAAGCGTAGGCTACCTGGTTTACCATTCCAAACCAGGATCTTATGTCAGTTATATTTTTTGGTGTCGGGAAATTCCGTATTGTTTCAGTCATTTTTTTGGTGGGTTTTATCCCGCCTTCTGTTATCAAGAAGCAAATTCCACCTCTTTTTCCGCTGAAGTGAAATTTCTGGGGTTGAATACTATACCATTTTTTGCTGCAGTTATTTATGTACTCTATAGTATGCCAAAATGATGATTCAATAGAGTTGTCCCATAGTATCGTGATCGTCAATACATCTTGTTTTCCTGGGCATATCTACAGTAATATTGTCGAACCTGCGTGTATATGCGTCTCCTGACGCTTGGAATCCTTGTGGTGCCCGAAGATAACGGTATTCACCCCATTCCGTGATGAAGGTAGTTGCATCTCTTGCCGATGGAGAGAGGGTTAGGCTATGATAGCCATTCCATGCATCCAAAACGGTTTTTCTAGTTTTCGCAGGCACCAGCGATGCCTGATTGAAAGGAGACGGTGTATGATGGGTTTTCGTAGGGGTAGCGGTGTTGAGCTTCTGTAGGTCCACCGACGCCTCGGTGACCCGTTTTTTTCGGTGCAACCACCATTCTGGAGCACCATGTTGTAGGTGTACCCACTGGTACAGGTTCTATGATGCCCAATGCCACGCCTCGGTCGAGGTCCTCCTTGACTCTTTTTCTTCCAATGGTGTGGGACCGGGATTGGGGTGTGGACAGCTGAGGGTTTGGCCCCTGGATGAACGTGATGTCCATGGGTTTTCCTTCCATCGCCTGCAGCCGTTGATGTGGGCATACATTGAATGCACTGGACTCAAAATGCTCCTTCATCCATCGTTCCAATCGGGGTCTGTTTTCTTCCATAGGAGCGAAAGGGATCCTGTCCGCTTAGGTGGGACATTGTTCTTTGTGGGCACCCACATGGTGCCTTTCCGCCGTCGCTAGTTGCCACGTTCTGCTGGGAAGTTGGGTCTGAAAGTTATCTGGCACCAGACCAAGGTCTTTTTTTAGGACTCGGACAGGCAGAAATCTGATGTATTTTTTGATACATATATAATCTGACGTGTTTCCCGCGATCCTACTCTGACTTTTTTAGCGAATATCACGCCTTTTATGTTTAGTAGGTTATCCGTGATTCCCCGACGGTGACTAGTCGGTACTAGACATTTGTCTGGACACTTCAGAATTTTTTGGATTTCTGGTCCGCTAGAGCATGTCTGTGCCCCAGTGTCTGCGATCGCCTCGATCCGGTGAGTATGGAGGCCAGCTTGTCCTATGGATATGTGCCCGAATTCCGCATGGGCCTCTGGAATCAGAGTTATCTCTACCATCAGGGTTGGTGCTGGATCAGGAGTACCTCTTCGAACTTACTTTTGTTCCAAACCAGGTGCGGCACGCCTTTGGTTTTGTCAGGTTGATTTCACCTCTCCTTTTCACTTGTCCATCTTGGACGATCATCCGTTACGACCCTTCTTGTGTCTTTGGGTGGTGAGAGTTCTGGATTCTGCTCCGACCACACCCGCTGTAGATTTGTTGCTGGACCCCTGCTTCGGGTTTCCTGCAAACCCCTTTTAAATGTCCGTTGTCCGCAATTGTGACAAGTCATCTTTGCTGCTGGGCAACCCCTTCGCTCATTCGAGCCGCCAGGGTGTGAGCTCTTCCCACACCATTTACAGGGTTCAGTGTCTCTCGGGTTGATACGGTCTGGTTCTCCCGGAGGCCGCTGCCTGCGCCCGATCTCTGTGTGCTCGTTGTAGTAGGGGTATACGTTACTATGGAGATGGGGTGTAGACTTGTCCGTGGTCTCTAGGCTGACAAGCCTGTTGAACTTTTCTTCCAGTGTCGTAAGTGTCGCAGCCTCAGACAACACCTTGCTTTGATGCTCCAGGTTTGCCAGCCCAGCCACCATTTGTCCTGCTACCATATCGTTGGAGTAGCTGACTTTCCGACCGCATCCTATCCCGCTCGGACAAGTCACTGAAAAGTCGCAGAATTTTGCGACTGATCAAGTCGTGCCACTTAAGTTCGTAATCGATTCCCCCTCCTTCTGCCTTACGGAGTGGAATTCTTGCCGGTACACTTCTTTGTGTAGGCTTCTGACGGCTACGAGCTTTATGTGTCGTAACAGCTCTTCCTCCGTGGACGGAGTTTAGTACTTCTGCTCCTACCATATCGAACAACAGCCTGTTCACTTCTGGGGCACAGGCCGTTCTCAGCTCGTTTCTTAACGCTGTTGGCTCCGTCAACCCACACATCTCCTTGTATCTATTCCAGGAGTCAATGAATATCGCCCAGTCACCATCACTTGAGTCCGGTTCTATATTAGGTCTGTCGGGTCTCCTTGTAAGTGACTTTTCGGCTGTCCTCCGCCTCTTCGCAGGGCGATGATCTCTTGCTGTAGCTCGATGAGCTGTCAAGTAATGTCTGCTGTGTTTGTTCGTCCATATTCCAACGTTGTTTGTAGCAGGTTTCCTATATCGGCGACGCCATGTAAGGTAGCAGCGAGACGACGTGTATCTGCCTCGATACTCGTTGCCGTGAATGTCTTGTTTAAGTAGCCCACTCGCCTCTCATGTAAGCGGGCGAGTCTACTTATGGGGGTGACGCCAAGACCATTCCGGTCTTGTAACTGGGCGTCTTAGGTTCGATTCCACCTCTACAGGATGAATGGTATTGTGAATTCCTCATCACAAAAATGTACAAAATCAACAAAATAATAACAAAATCAAATAAAATTTCATTTGAAGCACTAGGAATTATATTTTATTGAAGTAAAGCTTTGTTCTACACAGAAAATTAAAAAAGAAATGTAAACATGTACTGATGCTGACAGTTATGTATATATTTTATCCTGTCAGTGATATCAGTAGGAAGTATTTCTGCTTGAATTTCTGGCATGAGGAGTTATCATTATTTACACTATTTATATGCGGCTGTAACAAAAGGGAAAAGGTGCAGTGAAGCATGACAAGCAGTAGCACTCATCAGCAGGTACAGAAACAATAGTCTAGTGCAGGGGTTGGCAACCTATGGCACACCAAGTAATTTCCAATGGCTTGCAATGACATCATGAAGTCTGAACCAATAACTACTACAATGCAAAGAAGATATTTAGCTGTTTCAATTTTAATATATACTAAAGTATATATACTATATATTACTATATAAAATATATTGTAGAACAGGTATATTGACCTTGACTTGTATAAAAATACGTATGCTGTTGGCACACTGAATGATTTTAAAACCCTAAGTCCACACTTAATTAGCAGAAGGTTGCTGACCCCTGACCTAGTGAATTAAAATGTTGGTTTGCGAATTTGGTCATATAGTAATTGTGAGTTTAATCCCTGGGCCAGGCAGTGCAGACTTTGACTCTGTGGAAACAGGGCAAGCAATAACTGATCATTGCTATAAATAAGAACTAGATGAAATATCCCTAGACATGGTCAGTGGAATGAGAACAGTCTACCCCTGTAAGTTAAATAAATAAATTAATAAAGATTCAGTAGTGAAATTCCCAGTAGGTTACCTGGACTAACACACAATTGATGAGGGCTGGATGGCACAATGGCTGAAATGTGATAGCAACAACAAAGATAATGACAATAGTCTGCATGTAAATAGTGTAAATAATACATGCAAGATGAAAATAATCATCAAATTTCAAATTTTCTACTTTGTTGGTGAAACTTTTATAAATTAAACAAAGATCCAAAAGTTTATATGGAGGTGCTACCCAAATTTTCAGGGAACTTAAAGCATAAAACACTTTCCTCAAAGGAAGGAAAATGAATCTAAAATGAGATTCTTTATTTCCTTGTGGAGTGACTTTGAGAAATGTTTGAAAAATATAAAATGAGCTACCTAAAATGCTAGCTAACATAAACAATGAACAGATTGATCAATTTGTTTAAATTATCCAAAACATTTAGGCAGCACTTTTTACTTCAATAAATCTAGTCTTCAATATAAAATTAACTAATAAAGAAGAAAGATACTGAAAAGTGGATGTGCATGAAAATAAAGATCAAAATATAAGTAATAAATACAAGAAAGGTATTGAGACCTATACCAAGAAAATTATTGCTTGTTTCTTACAATTCAAGTTCCCATCACAAATCACATTACAACATCAAATTAACAAAAACACCTGATATTCCAGCTAAACCAAATACCATTTGCTAGGAGATAAAAATGCAATTACTTTGAAAACAATTCTAAGTGCCTCAGACGTGAAGGGTACTAAAAAGTTCTTGATCTGGAAAATGCCCTTTCACAAAGCAATGTTTAGTCAGATTTTATGAACTAGGTTGAGCTGTAAACTTTTCTACACCCTCTCATACAATGTATCATAATATTGCATTTTGACACCACCTTGAAATAACATGCTCATAAAACATTGCCCTGTATTACAAAAGGAATAGTGAAATTGCTTAGTCATTTTTCAAATCTATGTACAAAACAAAGGACATTAAATATGTCCAAAGAAAATGAAAAAAATGTTAAGTCTAGAGTGGTTGTTTTTAAAATTATTAATTTATTATCTTGAATCATACTGTAATCTAGCTGTCAAAATTATTGTTTGATCTTTTTGTTACAGTTGGGTTGCTTTAACTACTTAGTAGATTGTTAATGATAGATTAAATAATGATATATCCTAATTGGCAGATATTGTATTTTGTTGTTAGACATGTATTATAGCAGTAAAGGTTTTATGTTTAATCAAGTGATATTCTCTTATTAGAGAAACATAAATGACTATTTTTGCCACCTCCAGTGTAAAATTTTAAGTGGTTGCGATCTGTTTTGTATCAAAAGAGAACTCTCAACAAAAATTAATGTAATTATTTATTGCATAAGGCCTAAAACACCACATATCTAAATCCCACCAAAAGTCAAAACACATGCCTTATTGCAGGATTAAACAATCAATACACCATGTTGATAACCAACATTTTTTAGTTTTTGTCTGAATTTCTGGGATGAGGAGTTATCATTATCTACACTATATATATATTCAAACTATTGTCCTCATCTTTTTTGTTTTTATCACATTTTGGCTGTTGTGCCCTCTGGCCTTCATCAGGTAGTATATCAATCTAGAATTCCCTGTAGATTGTTCAAGTTATATTGATCTGGGTAGTTTACCCTCATCGATTGAATAAAGGATTCAATTCAGAATTTGATTACCCAGATCAATATATATCTTAGGAAAGCTGGAGGGCACAACAACTGAAATGTCATGATAACAACAACAAATTACCTGTGTATTTTCTCGCCATTATCATCCTTCATTAATCTTCTTGATGTCAGTAAATTAACTGTACATTTTAACCCCTAAGACCCAAACCATTACAAATTTACAATTCCCAATAAAATTAGTTTTTAAATCTGTTGAAAAACAGTGCTTTTTTTTTATCATATCACTCCATGCCCGGCAGTAAAGCCACTAAGATACAAGGGGTTACTGGGTGTAGAAGAATGAGAAAACAAACATTACTAAGGAGTGAGAACAATACAAAAGTTATCAAGATGACAGTAGATAATGATTGACATTGTATTTAAATTTTTGAGGATTAAAATTGACTGGAAAGCATAGAGCCAGAAAAGAGTTCCACAAGCAGGAAGTGCAAGAAAAGAAACTGTTAGCATAGAACTTATGGTTACATTTTAGCCAACTCAACTGTAAATTGATGAGATCTTTAATACTGTGCTTAAATTCATAAAGTCAAGGTACTATAGTGAAGAGATCATCTGAACAATTACCATGAAAGTATTTATAGAAAATGTACAGGGATGCAATTTTATGGTAAAGGGAAAGTGACTGAAGCTGAGATGCCAGGTCAGGACCAATAATATTGTTGATTCTTCTTTATATTTTATCAAGAATCTCTAAATATATATCAGGAGGACCAGACTATATGTGGCAGCAATATTCTAAATATGAGTAAATGGTAGATTTAGATTCTGGAGAGAAAAATTGTCGAGCACTGACCTAGCAATGGGTTCAATATAGCCTTTCCACTACATGTCAGCTGAGAATGTTAGCCGGAGAAGGCACTCTCTTGGGGGTTAGCATCAGCCATGTTGATGGAAAGCAGAAAGGGTTGTCACAGATAATTAATGTTAATAGAGAGCAGTTTTGTTTTGGAGGCACTAAAATTAACAAGACATTCTTCGCCCTAGTTAATAATAGACTGAAATTCGGTTATGACTTAAGCTGCCAAGATTCTATAAAATATGTGATTTTTCCATATTTGTGTTCCGAATGTTAAAAAATTACTGTATTTAACAAAAAGAATCCTTTTTGAAACATGACAGTAAAAAAAAATAAGTACTCATTTTTAATCTTTATTTAATAAAGCATAGGTAAATATGGTTTGTTGAATTATATTCTGAAATTAAAATGTCAGATTTAAAAGTAGGATAATAATAATAGTCATCTTTTTGGATGACAAGACAGAGTTGGAATATATGCAACAACTTTAACTCATTGTCTCCAAAAATGACAGAATTCTGCGGAAAAGCCCATAGTGGTTACAAGATGCAAATTTTATTTACAACAATAATATAAAAAAGACAAACAGGTGAGGTGAAGAGATACACCCCATAAAAATCGACCACATTTTTTAAAATAAAGAAGAGTTAAAATCATTTTAACTCTTCTTTATTTTAAAATGTTAACAACCTTAAGCAGTTGATGTGGTCAATTTAAAAACTAATAAAAAAAACAGTGGTCCTATTGTTTTTTGATCAATTAAAACAGGGTCACTAGAAGTAAAAAACGAAATCTCTCTTATTTTTGTAGAGTAAGAAATGAACATAAAAATACTAACAGCGAAACCTGCACGTCCAAATCTGAAAATTCCCAAAGTTGATACTTCCCAAACATTTTGCCGGAGAAAATACGCTGAGCCTGCTACAGCCCCAAAGAAACCAGAGATCTTCAGTCCACGTTTAAGCAAAACAAAGGTCATCAGGAATGACTAGAATAAAAGTAAAATAAAGATAACATAAGCGTGTAGTTAGGATAAATTCACTTAAGTTGTAAAATAATTAATAATTAGTAACGATAAGAAGGTTATATAACTGACACTGAACTCAATTACTTTGAAAAAATTCAATTAATAATGTAAGGTAAGGAAAAAACAGTTCAAATTAATTCTTTAAACATTACTATTTTTGTATATATGTTGTTCGCGTTTTTATAGATATTATAATTTTAGCAAATGTTTTACCTTTTATTGCTTGTAGTTTGCATCCGTATCCCCGAAGTTCCAAAACACGAAGATAACATTCAAGGGGGATAACTCAATTCATGTAAACTATAATTCATAAATTTATAAAAATATCATCTGAGAACTTTAAAGCAAGAAAGATTTAACATATGATTCTCCGAACATTATACATTTTCTTCTCAGATTATTTTAGAATACTTGTTTTAATTTTCCATTTTTTTTTTTTTATGTAAAGAATGACTAACCCCCTTCCAACACTTTTGAAAGACGTAATTTAGATTTTCTTTCTGAAATCGCTAATTTTTCTAAAGATTCGCGTGAAGCATGCCTAGAAAATCTGCAGATATTGTTAGCCAAATGATGATTAATGAAGAATCATCTTGGTCAAAGCAATCACCGAAGCGTGTGAATTGTGTACTTTGGAATGGTTGGCAAAGCATCGACTATTTATTTATCAATCAATCCAAATATTTACAATTTTTATAATCTTGTAAATAAATAAAATTAATCTTGTAAATAAACAATAACAACTAAATATTGTATAATATTTTTGTTGTTATCAAAATTCTAGATTTTTTTTTTTACTAACTATGATGTGGTAAATTCAAATTTCAAAAAAGTTTTGCTCTATCACATCTAGATATTTTTATTTTCCCATATTCCATTTTTAATGCATATATTTATAACACAATGTGTTTATTTCAAACAATATTAAAAAAGGTATATTACAGAAAAAAATGTAACATAGATACAAACACTGACAGAAATAAATACTACTATTTAATTGTATAATGCAATATATACACATCATAGTACAGCAGACAGAAGTGACTTTTTAGCATTCTGCTTCCATTTGATTGTATTATATTATTATTATTTTTGATTCAGTGAATACTATTGGTCGAAAAAGATTTTGATGCATTTTGTAGTGCATCTAAGAAGGATGCATGAATATTTAAGATTGTGCTGCAAATAAAATATGCAATATCCACAAATATAAATTATAAGAAATGGCCAAATGGTAACGATATTCAATCACAACAAAAAATACATGTTTGAAACAACAGATTAAATTTTATATACACAATTTACAATTTCTTTGTTTGTAATGATGTGTGCAAAGGTATAGAGAAAAAATTCTTTGCTGTTTTGGAAATGTTCAATGTCGAAAAAGTTGTCTGCCTTTGATTGAAAGGTTGAATTTAACTTAGACAAAAGATTTTTCTATATTAAGTGAAAAAGTTTGTTGTATGAATTTTTCTAATCTCTCATAAAGAAAGTTTGTTTCTTTGGCAACAATTTTGACTCATAATTCCCGTGTGTATCTTTGCGTGTGTGAGTCTCAAAATGCAACAAAAATTCGTTTGCTGTTTCTATTTATAGTTTTTTAACAACAAAATCGGCTCCAGCGGCTTGGTAGCTTGTTGCAAATTTTTCTGAGAAATGCATGGGTGAATGTTGTACTTTTATTTTTTAGCCAATAGGATTTCTTGAAACATTTAAATTAGGGATGAATTTGAGAAAGATTTTTTTATGCCAGTTGAGCCTATTTTTGCACAAATTTTTGACTGTTTTGTTATGGAAATTTCTCGAAGCTTATTTTTATTTAACAACCAATGAAATTCAAGAAAATGTCTGAAAATTGGAATGAGGGTTACTAAAATTTTCTATGTAATAGTTTCTTTTGATGGCATAATTTCTATTTAAGTTTCAGTGCTGATTGGTTGTTAAATGTAAAAATGTATACAATGCTTATGCAATCTCATTTGCCACCATCATTTTTTGAACAAGTTTTGGAGCTGGTCACATGAACTACTACTAAATAAATACTTAGCAACATCTTCAACCCTTTCTCTTTTCTCTTCCTTCAGACTTACAGCAATGTAGCTTTGTGGAGAGATTGCGACAAAACGTTATGATGCACACACACACACACACATACATACAAACGTTGCCTATCTATGCACATCTACAAACATCTATTCACTCCTTCAACAACAAGGACACAAAAACTTATCAACTTCTAACAGTGAGATTTTCATCAGCAAATAGCATGCCACCAGAGCACGTATAATTTTCAACACACTCACTCAATTAATCTCAACCAATTTCAATCCTCTACGGTGAATGAATTTGAGTGGCAAGATACTTCAATATATTTATGCTGATTTTCAACTCAGAAGTGTTAAACTAAAAAACTATATTTTTAGTACCAAATACTACTTCTTGATTTTCAAGCGAAGACTACAATTTTCTCTCACTCAACAAGTTTCTTTGAACTCAGCTTACACCAAATCTCTCAATCTACAATATCTTCTTATCGAAGAACATTTCTTTCATTGAGATTGACTATTGTTTCATGAACTGAAATCTTTTTCTTGAGATCAGTTAAAAACACTTTTCCATGCAAACCTTGACTAATTCAAACTTACAGTTAAAGGTAAATATCTCCTGCTATATTTAAACATTGAACTTTCATCTATAGAAAATATTACAAATTGTTTAATTAATTTAAACAGATTTATTAATTACAGATTCTATATCACTTTCACACAATTTGAACATTCTTCACAGGAACACAATTCACCTGTAAAAAGAACATTTCCAAGTAACAAATACATACTTCCACTAAATCTCTAAGTTCACTGAATTACTCTCTGTACAATTGTTGTTATGCATATATAAATTCCATTTACTTATGTAACTTCTCTTGTTAAATGTTTCTTCTTATTGTTTCATATTTTGTGGTATTTTGCATAAATATAAATCCATTAGGCCTTACAAACTCTACAAGTTTATTTTTGACCAATCACATGTACTTTATCTCTGGGATGTTGCGCAGGAGAATCCTGCAGAAACTCACTATTATACTGGGATTTCACTTGCCATGATAGTGGTTTCCCATCTTCATAACATCTTGGTAGAAACTTTCTTCATGCTCATTACTCACTGCACCAAGTTTTGGAGGAAAGTAGTTGAGGTAGAGAAAGTGAATCTTGACTGACATTTGGCATCCAATATCTTCATAAGTCTGTAAAAACTTCTTGACACACTCTTATTAATCGAGTGCCTATATGTTACCAAGGAACTTAAATGTATAGGATTAAAATCCTATATCATTCATAAAAACCCCAAATCACAGACTCCAAATTTAATAATACAACAATGCATTCTGATTGGCTGAAAAATATCAGTTATGTGTCATCAACTACGTCTGAATGTACCGACCCTATTTTTGACCTAAGCAAAAATACATTTGCAGCCAAAATTCTGGAGTCTACCACGTGATGCATATTGTGTATATTAATAACACAAAATTTAGAAACGGATGGTAAGGTGGGAAAATCCAATCCAGAGCTATACTGCATATGTCACTATTCTTCATTGCAGACCATACATTAAAATTCTTTCAACACTAAAACAGTCTGCATTGCTCTTTCAACACAAGCTAACTAAAAGTTAACAAATATCAAAGAAAGACAACCCAGTTAAAACGCAAAGTAAGTCCACTTCATTCACACACAATTTTCGTAAACCTCAAGCTGTTTAATTTCAGCATAGATCAAATTATATTGTATTATACTATCCCATGTTCACACACGTTATTCCACAACTCAAGGTATATCTAATCAGAACATTACTAAAACTCAAATCCAAACATACCAAGACATTTAAATGTTTTAAACAACTTTTTCAACAAATGTTTGTACCTTTTGTTATATAAAAATTTCTATTTATTGTCATGCAAATATTCTTGTCTTGAATATTATTGTTCTCTTGTTGTTCAATATTTTGTTACATTTGTGATAATATAAATGCATAAGGGATTACTGATGTCAACAGATAAGTAGGCAAGACCTTCCCCCTACAAATGCTTCTCATGCTCTCAGTTCTTTGAGAGTAAGAATCTTCTCAAATTCCTTATCCTTCTTGAATATGAGGTCTGATGTAGTTGCCCTCCTTGAGCTTAGCAGAACCGAGAGCAAGGAACAGAGTGTACAGGTGTTGGAAGACTGCACCATTCTTGTTCATGGCTTTCACAAAATTCTTCATTAGACTAAGCTTGATATGAAGTGGAAGGAGAAGCACCTTATTCATGTCCACCAGAGGATTTTCTTGGATTTTGTATTCCTCAGGTATAAAAGTGTTCCTAGACCCCCAGTCCTTCTGCTTGTAGTGCTTGGACACAACCCAACTGTCCCAGAAATAGAGAAGGCATTGTGAAGCCCACTCAAATAGCCATAAAGAGCTCAATAACCTTGAGATTGCCACAGACTCCACTGGCAGAGATTGTACTTGACAGCTTCCAAAAGGAGTTCTATATTGTCATACAACTCTGTTATAACAACATCAATGATGATGATGATAATGATGATTGTAAGGACATCTGGTCCCACTAGGGAATGCTGGGATCAAGATGGATCTACCGGACATTTTTAAATAAATGAGTTGTTAAATTTACAATTTGTCATGTCATCCTTGTGTTGCGTCAACTTTTCAGCTGTCAGTCTCATATACCTTTCCACTCTAAGCCCAGTGAAACATGGAGTCAAAGAGGAAAATTATTTTCTAGAAGAACAGGACTCAATTAAAAAAAAAATATGTTTTTATTCAAAAAAAAAAAAAAAAAAAGAAAAAAATGCTTGTTTTGTAACATACACCATCCAACAAATAAAAAGGAAAAATTAAAAGTAACAACACTTCCTTAAGTTCCATAGTAAAGAATTGGTACAGACATTGTTACTCACCAAGAACAATATATTGCCATAACAGATTATTTCTCAAGATACATAGAAATAGCAAAGCTTAATTCAATGACAAGTAAATGTATCATAGGGAAGTTGAAAAATTTCTTCTCACCTTGGGTAATTTCTATAGAACTTGTCAGTGATAATGGGAAACAACTCTCAAGTTATGCTTTCAAAAATTTTGCAGACAGTTATGGATTTAAACACACCATGTCAATTCTACATTATCCTCAAGCAAATGGAGAAGCAGAAAGCACTGTTAAAATAGCTAATAGAATTTTGGAACAATCAGACACATTTCAAGCATTACCAGAGTCAATTCAAGCCACAGGTGTCAGTCCCACAGAATTAGTTGTGGAAAGGAAAATAAGAACCATGTTACTTTTACATCCAAGTTATTACCAAAATGGCCTGATTTTGCACGAATCAGGGAAAGAGACAAACTGGCAAAAACCAGAATGAAAATGAATTTTAATAGATTCCATGGTGCCAGAAATTTACCAACTCTAAAAAGAGGAGATAGAATTGAGGACATCTGTATATGAATTTCTAGGACTTATAAACCTAATGTCTCAGTAATCATTTTTACCAGTGCTCATATTGCAATTTCTTTTGTTATTATTGCATTTTTATCAGAGCTTATATTGCAATTTTTGTTGTTATTCATGGCTTTTCTCTAGCATTCTTTATTACTGGTTCCATATTGTATTCATTTCTATGCTTGGTTGGCTCAGGAGATTTTTGTGGCCTAGCATATGTGCTGATTCCATGTTTTCGTATTTTCTAGTGATGTTCTCTATTATTTTAACCTCATCCCACATGGGGCAGTGATCTCCCTTTTCCCTCCATATGTAGTCAGCTACACCTAATTTTTCTATTTCCCCTTGTGTTACCACTTTATGATGTTCATGCAGTCTTACCTTAAGGGGGATGCCAGTTTCTCCTTTGTATTTCTTATCACAGCTGCACAGGATGGTGTACACAGTCCTTAGTCATGTTCTCCTCTACAGGGAGGGGGAGGGGTCTTACTTGGAAGAGGTCTGCAAAGTGTTGAACCACTTGTGAAGATTGTCCTGATGTTATATGGACCAGATCCTTTGTATTTTCTCCGATAACCCCTTCACATAGGGTAGGCAGACTGAAGCTGTTTTTTGAGTACTGTTATCCACTTGTACCTTCCTATCCCAGTTTGTTGGAGCTGCTGCCATGTACCCAGGGCAGTTGTTACATTGTAGGGTACTGCTTATACTGACCATTTCTTGATGTATGTTTCTGAGTTGCCACTTATAACTTTTACGCAATGTTGTAAGCAGCATATGATCCCTTTCTTTACACTATATGGATGGTGGGAGTTGAAGTTGAGGTATTGTCTGGTGAATGTTAGCTTATGGTATATGGATGTCTTGAACCCCTGCTCTGTTCAAGATATTAGTACATCTAAGAAGTCGAGTTAGTTGTCACTCTCTGGACAAAATAAAGGGTTTGGTTCAAAATTCCAATCAGTTGAAGAAGGCCGGAATGTACAACAGCCAAAACGTTGTGAATATGGCAATGAAGACGAAGATAACAGTCTGAATAACATAAATAATACAAGTAATCATAATATCTCATCTCAGAGATATAGACAGATATCCAAAATATCTGTTTGAATTCACACAGTGAGTGTAACCAAAACAGACTTTGATTTTTAATTATTTATTTTGTAATTTGGAAAAGTTAGAAATAAATTAATAAAGAAAATAATTTACCTTAGGAAGGGGGATGTTATAATAACATTAATAATGATGATGATGATTGTAAGGACTTCCGATCACACTAAAAAATTCCGGGATCAAGACAGATCTAATGTGCAGTTTTAAATAAATGAGTTGTTAAGTTTACCATGTGTCGTGCTGTTTTTGTATTGCTTCAACTTTTTAATGGCCAGTCTCATATATCTTTCCACCCTGAGCCCAGTGGAATAGACTCCTGAACAAGAATTGAGTGGGCAAGGAGAATGCTGGAGTATTTATCCCCATTGTGCAGAGTTCATAGACAGGAACTACAGAAGAGGATTTCCAATAAGCTGAAAAGCAAGAAAAAGCAAGACATTTGTTGCAGAGTTTGGAGAGAACAGGAACCAATTCAGGAGCACATTTCCTTATAACACTTGCAAGGATACTGTCCTGAGGTGATCTTTGTGGGGATAATAACAGAAACCATGGATGGAGTTAGTATATCACTCAGTAGAGATTTCATTCTAGGGGAAAAATAGGCAAAGATATTCCTGATGAGAGAGGTATTGAAAGAGAATTTATGAGCAAAGCATTCTGTTTTATTAGTAGTAGATGACAATACTTCAAATTGATTGAAGAGAGGAAAGATTGAGGTCTTGTTCAACATACTCTTACATACCTGCAAGTAATCTTGAGAACCAAACTTGTAAGAGGCTATACAGTGTCTAATTCTATCAGTGAACACTGACTTAGCTTCATTAAGGACTTGTGTACATTAATTATGAGCAGGTACAAAGAGGTGTCTGTTATGATCCAAACATTCACATTGGTATAGCCAGAAGTGATTTCTGTGGTCTATAGTGGCTGAACAGGCAGAAGTGAACCAATGAGAAGATTGTAGTTTCATTTGGTATTTCTGTGCTAGTATGAGAGTTTTGATACTGGCTTTCACCCAGGAAGAAACCTTAGTGGCGTTATTTTCAACAGGAAGATTAAAAACTTTATGCCAAAGGGTGTCGTAAAGAAAATCAGAAAATGAAGCCCAATCAGTGTGTTGGTAACAAAAAGTTATCCCATAAAAGGGGTTCTTGCCTAATAAACAAGTAGAAAGAACCTTCTACAGATACTACTGTATGGTCAAAGTTTCCAATAGGACAGAGTTGCAAAGCACGACATAAGTCCAGCGAGAGGAAGTAAGGATCAGATCAAATAAAGAAATGTGCCCGTCAGAATTATTAGGTAAAACAACAAGGGAAATCGACTATTTGGGTGAGAGATTGAGTAACTGAGAAATTCAAAGTCTGGATGCTTGTGAGATCAGTGGCATTAAAGTGATGAATCCATTTGACATGATGAGCATTGAAATTGTCAAACACAAAGATATTTGCAGATGAATGTAGAGAGAGAGAGAGAGCCATATCTATACTCTCAGATATTCTATTTAACAAGCAACAGTCTCGAGAAAAAGGGGAATGATAAAGGAAGAAGATATAACTAACCGAGTTTAATAGTGAAAGTCAGAAGCAGGTATAAGAACTGGAGACTCAAGAGACAATTCCCTTGCTACTAGATTTTTACAAACATATTACCAAGGCTATGCATGTGATTCCTTTCAATACAGAGAAAGATAGCTAAGAACAAAGAATTCAGTTGTAAAGATTGAGGAGTTAGTTTCAGAGAGCTAGGATGTCAGGAGAACATTCCAAGAGAAACATTGCAGAAATTGGTATGAATACCACAAATGATAGTGAAAGAAAGGTTGATGGCTTAGGTGGACTTTTGCAAAATGGTTTAGTTTTATTTTTTATTAATTTTTGTAGTCATATGATAACTTTTTTTATTGATCATTTATTTAGTTTACATTTTTTATATAAATTTTTATATTATCTTCTCAAGAGAAAAAGCAATAAACAAATATAGTTTATTGTATTATTTTTTATTATTATTTATATCCATCTTTTAATTATTTTATATTACTTTCTTATAATTTTTTTTATACTACTCCTATTGAAAGAAAAAAATTAGTAAATAAAATCTCAATATGTAGGCAGAAAGGTTAGAAGTTAAACTAAGAGCATGTAAATTCAAGTAGATGAATTTAGTAGGTACCAGCAAAATAGATGCTTTTTTTTCTGAAATGAAAGCAAAAAATCGTGATCCTAAAATCAGGGAATTAGATGACTCAAACAAACTCTTCGGTACTTATTTATTAATGAATTATTTTTTTACTGAATAGGTCATTTTATTAAAAAAGAAAAATTTGTGGAAATATATAACTTTTTCAATATCTTGGGTATACTTTTTAACTGGCCAGCGTGGGGATTCATTCAATTCTTTGTACAGTTATATAAAGAAAAACCCCTGAAGATGTTATTTCAGTAAAAAATTCATGTAATATGAAGTTTGAGAATACTGAAAATTCAGCTTGCATCTTATTAAAAATAATTCAATAAAATAATTGGTGCTTGTATATTAATTATCAATGTGTATTTATTTACATATTTCCTGTATATCTATTTATATATTTCCTGTCCTAGTAAGAAGGGAGGTAAATCAACTTAAGTTAGTAAATTCATGTGTGATTACTACTTTTACTTAGTCATTTTAATAATTTATACAAATACAGTGTAACCCGGATATAAGAGAAATTTTCTCTGGTCCCAAATTAGAGCCTGTGTTAATGTATATAAAATAGACCAAACCCGGATATAAGAGACTTCTTCTCCGGTCCCGACAACTCTCTTATATCCGGGTTACACTGTAAAATATTTATCTGCATTCAGACAAAATTACTTCCCAAACAAAACAAACTGTTTAATTAATCAGTTCCTTTGCTACTATGTTTCTTAGATTGAAGTTTTATTTGTTTAAGACTTTCATGTGAATCACTCAAACACCTTTGTCTATTAAGTGGTCATCTTACATTGTCTTGAAATAGGCTTTGTCATTCTGTTGCTAAACTTTTTCTCCCAAGAGATATTTCCATTTCAATGTCATATTAAACACATCAAACTTTTAACACAAAATGATACTGAGCAAAAAGTGATTTATATACCAGGACCAATTAATGAATCATAGATACCATTGAACCTCTAAAAAATATAAAGGGAATAGATTAATTAAAAAGTTCATTGGCCTCTATTTTAGTTTCGAATTCTTTATCTATGCTTTATTGAATCTCAATACATTATTTCAAGCCTTTTTTCATTGACTTTCATTATTAAAACTTTCTAACAATTGCCATCAATTTTTATGGTATAGGTACTCTAATAAAAAAAAAGGTAACGGGACTGAAAAAAAAATTTTTTTCAGTGTGATTTTGAAATTTATCCCATTGCTGTTTGTTACAAAGAGTTTTTTATTAAATAAAAACATGTTTAAAGATTCAAAAGTTTAATGCCATTTTCAAATGTGAACCTTTTTTAAAATAATTTTATTTTTTCCTTTTAGTCATCTCGTAACGTCTTTATTCTGGTACATGCCTCAAAGCATTTTATCTAAATCTTTATGCTTTCAGGTTCATCTGTGTTCAACAGAGCTCTGTCAGGCAATGACATTTTGTTATGATGATCAAACTTAGAAGCTGAAAAATATTCTACGTACAGTACACTGGCTCAGTTGCCCATGAGCTATAGTTATAGCTCTTTTTATGCTAATTATCTATTAGGTAAACCAATCCCATTTTACATTCTGTTTTAAGGATAAGGTAAGCATTACTTTTAGAAAATCCAGTATTAATCCTTAAATTTAATAAAAGACTTTGAAACAAATCTCTGGGACAAATAATGGATTTTAAATTTGTTTACATTTTTCTTATACAATGGCGGTTCGATGAGTGACGAAAAACATACTAAATGTTTTAAAAATGCCTAAAAAAAGTTTATTTATATATTAATTTTTCTTTTCTGTTTAACTTTAGCTTTTTAAGTGATTATCTTTCAAAATCAAATACAACCGAAATTTATGTTCAAAGAATGCATTTTTTAATCAAATGAGTTTTTCGTGTGAATTCTAATCGGGTTTTGTTACATTCACTTATGCGCAAATACCCTATGAATCCATCTCTTCTCTCTCCAACTACGAGTTGAATAGCAGGACAGACTGTCCTACTTGGTTGGCAACCAGTTTTACCGCAAAAAGAAACTGCAGGAAAATCTTCTGCCTAGTCAATCATGAATCGAAAGCGGCGTGATCACCCAATCGTGTATCACATATGGCACTTAATTAATAATCCTCTGTTCCCCAGTTATAAATTTATAAAACTTAAGGTGCATTGTCTCATAGTAAAAAAAGAGAAAAAAAGAAAAGTAAAACTACCTTTATCCACCGATGGTTTTACTTTTCAATTTATAAAAAAAAAACCGAAGAAACAGTAATTCTTTTTTAAAACTTTTTCTGCAGTCTACGAATTAATTTTACATGGTACTCACGACAGAAAGTCACCAGCTTCTTTTGCTTTCTTTATGCATATACAATCGTAACAGCTTCTGTTTTTGTTCTTTTTTCTGTAAAAGTTATCCGGCAAACTAAAAAATATTTTAAAACCAAAACGGCAGAAATCTGAATTTAAACCTTAAAAATTAAAGAAAAGGTAAAGAAAGATAGTACCACACAAAAAAATATTTGCTCCTTTTAATTTGCTTATGCTTTGAAGCGATTTACCTGTAATAAATTTACATCAAGAAGTAGCTTGCTTTGAGCAATTTAAAAAAAAAAAAATTGAAGCTGATTTTTTCAGCTATACTTATAGCCTTGCCCTTCAGGTTTTTTTTTTGTTTGTGCTTTTTATTCAAAGTAACTAATGTTGAAAGGAAATAATTTTTTCTTTGGATCCGAGAGTAGTTAATAGAAATTATATTTTTAAGTTTTATAACAAAGACTGTACCTGCTGTTACGCATTGTACATTATTTGCAAAAGAATTCAATCAAAACACGAACAATTCCGACTTGGACTACATTACAATCGGGACATTTAAAGACAGCCGGTGAATACAGAAAACAGAGTTCCTTACCAAAAAAAAAAAAAAAAAAAGTAACTACCTCTCAGTCTATGATGACGGAAATCTTTTCAAAATATTTATATTTTCGAATTTTGTAAATATATTCTTTTTTTGTTCTTTTTTAGCTTTATTTGAATGTTGACTTCATAGTTGCATACGAGAGACAGTTATCTACTATTTAATGTTAGTAGCGGAGATAAATGTTTAAAAAGTAGAGAGGAATAGTAGTTAAAAAAAAAATAAAAATAAAAACGTTTTTCTTAGCCAATGAGAGACAGACGTTTAAACACGTGATAACTGATCTGCTCAGACAATAAACTACTTGCTTTTTCACTCTTGCTTGTCTAAACGTATGACACGTTCATAGAATTAAAAGCTAATCGGGTGATCAACTTGATTTCAGACTTTGAGATCGGCAGGAGGAGGAGGAGCAGCAAAACTGAAGCTTTGGACTTTTAAGTGGAAATATTGTCTTTATTAACCTTGCTTAAAAAAAAAGAAAAGGCAGACTTACGGTTCTGCTTATCGCTACTTTTTCTCGCAATTCTTCCCTCCCTGTTATATGAATTCCACGTGATGCTGTTATTATTACTTCCATTATCTGACCTTTGTCCATGAAGGGAGCAACTTTACAGTTCGCGACGCTGGAAGCACCTTTTGATGATACAGTGCCACTTGACGACATGTCGGCGTCAAGTCCAGATTCTCCTTTGGCACCATCGACTGCGGTTATCGTTGCTCCTCCACCTAGGTCATCGTCATCTTCCTCGTTGCCTCAACAACCGCAGTCCGATCTTGTTGAGGGCCAAATCATGCCAATACCTGAACACATCAACAACGCTTATGACACGGCCCCTATAGTCGATTCAGATGAAGGACGGAGTTACGAGAGCGAAGGGACTACTGTACAGACGGTCTTGCCGGCCCCTGTTACTCGAGCCGCCGCCTTTTCTTCCGTCCTTGTACTTTTTCTCATTAATTTACTTAATTACATGGATAGATATACAATAGCCGGTAAGTTATCCAATATTAATTATCTTTTAGTCTTTTGGTATTTCTTTCTGAAGCCATTTATTTTGTTTACCTTTCTTTTTCTATGCTTTCGTTTCGTTACTTTATCGTCCGAATACAACTTTTCTTAAAGCTTCGTCATCATCATGCGATGATAAATAAATATAAATAACATTTTAAAAATCCTAAACGTGTCAAACGACTTGAAGCAGAAAAAGTTGGTTAGTACAACTTCATGGCAAAGTATTCTTCAGTAGATTCGTTAAGTTTTTCAGTGATAAATCAAATGTTTTACATTGTTTTTAAAGTCCTTAAAAGGGGTATTTTTTTAGCTAGAGATAAACTTTGGGATAAATTATGACCTTAAATTTTATTTCTGTAATTGCTCATAAGTTTTCCCCCCCCTCCAATCTTGTGCTTAAAAAAATGCGAAGTTTCTTTGTTAGTGAAAAAAAAATGAACCAAAAACGGTCGTTTCTTGTTCAAATTATCTTTGTTTTTTCCTTTTTTAAAAATTATTTTTTAGCTATATAGGATACACTGTTGTAGTGTATAGTTTCTATATTTTCGTTCTCGTTTCAATGACAAAAAAAAAATGTTACTAGTTAAAAACATAATCGCTCATGGAGTTCGTATTTAAAATTAAAAGGATGAGTTTAAAACTAAAAAAACCCTGCGAAATCAATCTTGGATTCTAACGAAAATATATTTAAAAAAAACATTTTTGTGAAGAAAAAATAATGAACTTTGGAGTGATGTTAATTTTTTTAAAGAGATTGTTTGAGAAATTGAGACGAATGAAAAGGTAACAAATGTATCGGTTAAATTAAAAGTTAAGTAATAATTAATTACTAAAAAATAGTATGTACTACAAATTGTACTATTCTTAAGTTAAAAAATAAATACACAATATTTTCCTTTTTATTATTAGTTTTTGTAATCCATGACTTAGTGAAATGGCATTTTCGTTCCATTTAATTCTAAAAGACCTGGAATAAATAAGGCTTCTTTCAATTTTTGCATAATGAAAAAATCGGCGGATAATAAAACCTCTTGTACACTCATAGATAATTTGAAAAGTATACAAATTACAAACTTGCTCGTGCATTTTGATATTTGCATCCAATGAAGATTTGACAGAAAAATGTCACGTATAAAAAAAAATAAATAAATAAAAAAGAACTTGGCCATTACTTAAATCTAATTCTATATTTTATTTAGAAATAGTTTTACCTTCATGAAGAAGAAATTTTAATCAACTTAACAAGGGAAAAAAATGAATAAATCAAGAAGTGTATTATTATTCTTTTATTCAGAAATAAATTATCTGTAGATTTTTTTTTCCTTCGGTGACTTCATTCAAATTCATTCAGTTTTGCAAATGTATTGACGTCTACACGGTCTACACATTGCCGCCTGAAGAAGAGGGATAGGCTTCGTCAGGTTATATCTAAACACGCCACTGCTGCTACGGTTACAGTGCATATGGTGCCCCTACGACCTTAATGGGATATGGGACTCATGACGTGACTACATGTTGCACTCTGACATTGAGTTTTATGAAATGCTTTCTTCTTTTTTTTAAAAAAATATACTGGAAATTTTAATTGTCTGTCTATCCAGTAGCCATCATTTCTAGTTTTCTTTAGTTTTTTGTTTGATTAGCCCACATTATTTATTGTTGTTCGAATGATTATCTTCAATCACATGTGTGACTCATTGCAGACTGCATTTATGGTCAGCATTTTTAGTAGTATGCATCCCAATGCAACAATGCATACTAAAAAAAAAAATGCAGATACTCTGTGTGAGTGTATGTATTCGGAGAGTAGTACACACTCATTACGTGCAAAAAAAATAATTTTTAAAGGAATTTTTCCGCTTGATTTTAGTTTTCAGTTTACATTGTAATAATTAATAAACAAGAAGTTGTATACTTTGAAACTAATTTTGTAATTTTTGTGTGTGTCATGCTTCAGTTTTTGTTGACATTATTTTTTTAAAAAGTGGATGTTATTGTTATGTTACTTTTTAAAGAATTTAGTCACCTATTGTTGTCAATGTGTGCTTGTGAAAGAGAAAGATGACATTTTGGCTTGATTGCAATTAAATTTTTATGCTTTACCAGACGAGGATTATTGTTTTTTTTTTTTGTTTGTCAATACAACACATAACATTGCAATTTGAATTATATTATTTCTATATCACTAAATCGATAATATGACTGACGATCGTACACAGAACTGAAATTACGATAATACTTTATTGAAAAAGTCAAAAAAAAAAAAACTGAAATGAAAAGTAACGAAAGTCGAAATAAAAACGAATGTACTTTGTTTTTAAATTTCTTTACAATTTTTCTTTTTAGTTATGTATCAGTTTTGGGGGGCTTTTGACTGGTTAATAAAAATATCTTTTCAAGTGTGCTTCACGTGGCTAAAATGGCATCATATTCTTTCTTGATAATTAAAAAAATCATTGCCTTTGTAAATTTGTCGGGGGGAACAGTTGTTAAAAATTAAAAGAATAATAATCAAATTCCCAATTCAACTAAAAAACTATTTTGAATAGTAGTATTCATTCAACAAAAAAGTAAAAATTAGATGGGTGTGGCTGTGGTTCCAAGAGATTTCTCATTCTCTACCAAATTTTAAGTCACTGTAGTGTAGTGTAGTAGTGTATGTGTGTTGTTTAAAAAAAATCTTATATTGTTTGACTTAAGATTTTTGTAACATTTTGATGCTTAGTATTTATAAAAATTTTAGTTCCCCTCCAAACCAAAATTCTTGTGTCAAACACAAAAAAACTACTTAGTAAGAACAGAAAGGTGAAAAAGAGAAATCATACTTCTTCTTAAGGTCAAAATTGGTGCAAATGACAAAATAATAATCAACCACTGCGTAAAATTTTAAGGAAAAACATTTAATACACAAGTAAAGAAAGGCAAAAAAAAAAGGTACAAATGCAAAATTTACATTTTAAAGTAGGATAACAAATTTCAGATATTTCAAAAAAGGATTGAAAAAAGGAAAAAAAAAAGGTTACAATTTTTTAGGAAGAGACAAGGAAAAACTCTGAAGAAGTAAAAAAAAAAAACATTGCACAAAGCAGAAAATACAAAAGTGCACCTACCTAATTTCTTCAACTGAATACCTTCTGAATCGATTTGCTGGTCAGTTATTTTAGTCAACAAAAGAGGATCACACTGTGACTGATTCCATCCAGGTTTTCACAAGGGCTTGATGTCTCTCATTGGCCAGTATATATAAAAACTTATTTCTCCCTAATGCAACAATTCACAAAGAAATAATTTTGGTGGTCCTTTAACTGCTAATTCTAAAATAAATTTTCATACAATTGTAACAATTTCCTTTCACAACCTGCCTGGCACAAAAACACACCTTTCTCAAAGGTACATGTAAAAAAAAACAAACAACCTACAGTTAAACTTTTATTTACTACACTAAAAAGACTTAACTTAATAATAAAAAATAAAATTTTTATATATTCTCTCACAAATGCTACATCCCTCCAAGATGTCAATGTTTACTTTTCTTTGATATCTGCGTAAAAAGTGCATGGTTGCTGTTGGGAAAGATGATGAAACGATTTTTGTTGTTTCTTTCTCAGTTTTGAATTCAAAGTTATAGTTTTAGGCTTAGTTTGCTCAGCTATTTAACTTGTAAAGAGAAGAGCTGTTTTGGGAAACCCAAGAGAATTAGCATGAAGTGAACATAAATTATCTTGGCTGAAATTTAAATTCAGCTCACTGACTCCATTTTTTTTTTTTTTTTTTTTTCTTTCAATGTTAATCATTAGTTCACCATAAAAAAAATGAGTTGATATTTAATATTTATTTAATCTCTTTATACACCAACAAGTTAGGTTCAAAGTAGAGGTTTATTCCTTGTTTCCTGTTTAGGACTGGGTTTCTGGTCCTTCTAAATTCTACTTCAACTCTATACTTATGTCTCCACCTAAACTTTGAAATTTATACTATTATTATGCTTCTGGTTTCTAAAGCGTTTTTTTTCTCTTTCACTTCCAGTAGCTATTTGTGTCTTAGTGACATTATTGCCTTGCTTGGTGTGACTTGATTAAAAATAAATAAACTTGAACAGTGAATCTTGGTACACTATTGCTCTGTTCACAGTTGGACAAAAACATATATTCAATTTCAAACCAATCAGTTTTTACTTTGGATTTACTTTGTGTGCACTCATGGCTCTCCAGAATTTCTTGTTCTTTGTAACTTGAACTTTGTTATTGCTCACATGTTTAGTCCATGGTATTCTCAAAATCCTTTTGTAGAATCACATTTCTGTTGCTTCAAGTCACTTTATCTGTGATAAGATTCTCTAGCATTCACTTCCATTATAGGAGGACTGATATTACATAACAGTTCAATACTCTTTTTTTGTTTCTAATGTAATTTTTCTGTTCCTTAATACTTTGCTTAGCTTTCGGAAAACTTCTTTCACTATCCCAATGCACCTTCAGATTTTGGTGTCACATTTTCTGTCCTCTGTTAAAACACTTCCTAGATATTTAAATTTTTGTACTTGATTGAATTTGGTGTTTCTAATTCGCACGTTACTTTTTGTTTCTTTTGCTGACAACATTCTATCTTCTTACAATTGATGTTTAGTTCTTTCTTCTCACTTTCAATTACTACCTTCTGTAGGAATTCCTATAGTTTCCTTTCCATGTCTGCATATCTAATGTCGTAAAGATTGTGGCCACCAATAATGAATCCTGGTAGGACTTCTAATTATCTTATAACTAAAATGGTTGAATTATTCTTGTGAGGACACATCCTTGTTTGATACCCTTTTCTATTTTTGTGCATTTACTGAATTCATTTTGTATCGCTATGCTGATAGTTTGCTTCCAGTATAAGTACTGGATTATTCTAGTATCCTTCCCAAATAAATCAAGCTTGCCTATCTGTTCAAACAATTCATTGTGACATACTTTATCAAACACTTTTAAATAACCTATAA